ATTAGTTTTGCTGAACTTTTTATCTTTTTTATTTTTTGTTATGGAAAAATAATTCTCTGATAGATGAAGAGGAATACATTGGAAAATGTAGGTGATATCAAAAGAAAAAGTGTTTTTTTAAATTTCAGCAACTTTAATTTAGGGTGTATTCTCTTGGTCCTGCTTTTCTTCACTTCATATCAGTTCATATAAATTACAGGTTCATAGATTTTAAAACTGAAGGGACTTCAGAGTTTTTGTGCAGTCTGAACCCAAGTCTTTGCCTTTTTCTCTGAATTCTTCCTATTCCTATACCGCAGTTTGTTTAGCCATTTCCTCAAGTAAGGGATATACTTTTTTTTTTCCAAATTTTTTTTGCTACTACAGAAAGTGCTGTTATTTATATTTGTTATATGTGGGACCTTTATATCTGTCATTGACCTTCTTGGTGTGTATGTCCATAGCCATCTAGTAAACATAATAGGTGTCATAGCTCTATAATCCATAGCCTTTGACCAAGTTCCTGGTTTAGACAAATCAAGTTTATTTAACCTTGGGGCCTTCCCTGAAGAATCATACTACTTTTCTACAACAGAAAGGAAAAGATCTTCATTTCTTATATAAGCACTCAGGCTATATATACTGAATGTTAGACAGGTTTTATTTAATGAAATGAAAAATTGAAATTCATATTTAAATCCAGAAACAATCATGTCACCCTATCCTTTTCTCTCTGATGGGTCTCACTTTGCCCAGAGACCTATAGAGTCCTCCAGACCTATAGTACTTCCCTATGATTGAGACTCCCCTTCAAGGGGAGAGTACTTGGGGTCACTAAGAAGGCAAGCAACCCATCCTGTCATTGAGTCTCACTCCCTAGGGATGTGCTGAAGTCATCTTGAATCAGCACCAGCCAATTGTTAAATTTTCATTGTGAGCATTTACCGGTCAGCAATTGGCAAAGGCTACAAATCAGGCTTTGACTTATTGTTTTGTTGATTGTCTAGACTTGAAGAAAGTGATGGAGAAAATGTTAATCATGTGGATGTGTTGTGTACATTTGTTTTTTGGAGAGCCAGGTTATTCACCAACATACCCTTGGTCTCACCTCCAGGAGCCTAAATGATGGTACCACTCTGAAGTGGTGAAGCTACCCTTTAAGGAGGAAGTCATTGGAAAGTCATTAGAAGTCATTAGAAAGTTTACCCCCACCCCCTGAACATTTATAGCCCGTATGATTCATAGTTACCAATAAATGTTAAGTTTCTTGGTTATCTCCACATCAAGGCTCTGTCCCATGCTGTCCTCTAGGTCTGGTTCCAGCTTGGTCCAGGAACTTATGTTACCACTGTTCCACTGTTGGTAGCTGGTATAAGTGTTGTTTTGGCACATAATATGAATTGTACTCTCTGTTGAGTTTCTTAGCATTTACACTTTCTGGAAACAGGTAAATAACATAAAAGATAGTTAGTACCTTACATTGTCCATTTTTTAAAAATCTGAATATTTTTGCATAAATATGTCTTAACTTTTGTGGTCATAATACAGTAGAAAGAGCACTGTTCTGGAGATGGAGGACCAGGATTCAAATCCTCCTCCTGATGATGCTTACTTACTTTTTATGATTTGGGGCAAATCACTTAAACTCCCTGGGTTTCAGATTCTTCATCCATAAAATAAAGAAGTTGGCCTATATGGCCTCTGAGTTCCATCCACCTCCAAATATATGTTTCTACTGTGTGTATATTTATATAATTTTAGCTTTGTTCATTCTGCATCAGTTCATATCAGTCTTCTATATTTCTTTTAAAATATTTTAAATTTTAGTATTCTGTTAAAAGTCTAACATTGAACACTAATATAACCAATTAAACTTGCTTAATGGCTATTTATATGCACCGCATATAGGATCATTATTTTTCAGTTATACCTGATAAGTCCTTATCAGGATTATTGGCCAGTTCTTATTCATTTCTCCTTTTATAGTTTCTCAGTTAGTGTATGCTTCGTTCTCTGTTTCTGACTCCTTGCTTTGCATTATTTCATAGTGGGTTTTCTAGATTTCTTTATTATTATATCACAGTTATTATATCACAGTATTGCATCAGTACACCACAGTTTATTTAGCCATTCCCTGTTAAACATTTAAGTTGTTTAAAAGTATGATGAAGTATAATGATACTATGAAAATCTGAACTAATGGCTCTTTTTTTATAATATTTTTAGGGTTTCTTTCCCATATTTTTCTGACTTGTTTTTAGTCATTCCTTTATAAGGCAGTAACATTCCTATATATATCTCATTCCTCATCAGGCTGTATTTCTCCCCCCCCCTTTGTTATTGCAAATAGTGTTACCAAGAAGATATTCATACAGTTACATCTTTGTCAGTAAAAACTTCATTGGAAGTATGAACACCTTCTGTGGAATTACAGGGACAAAGGGTATGAAGAGTTTTGTAACTTTTCTTGTATAATCTTAAATTGTTTTCCAAAATAGTTTTTTCAGCAGTGAATTAATGTACTTGTTTTTCTTCATCCCCCAAAACATGAAAATTTTCCATGTTTTGCCATTTTTGTCAATTTGATAGATTCCTTAAGAGTTGTTTTAATTTACTTCTCTCTGATTATTAGCACTTTTATAATGGTGGTTGATAGCTTGCATTTCCTTTAAGAACTATTTATTGGGCATTGCTGACCACTTATCTGTAGGGAAATGGCTCTTAAACCCATAAATTTCTGAAGATTTTGGATGTCAATCTACTGGAGACATTTCATGAAAATATATATTCTTAGTCAACATCTTTTCTTCTTCTTCTGGTTTTATCTGTTTGTTTTTTTTTCCAAGACCTTTTTTGTTTAGGTATAATTAAAGAAGTCCAGTCCTCTGAATTTGCATTCTGCCTTTCCCCCCCCCAATACTTCTGAACAGTTTTCTTATATAATTTCCTTCATTACTTCGCTTCTTCATATTTTTATGGCAGACTAATAATTCTCAGATTGTCTTGAGCTCTGCCTCGGAGCTCTGATGCTTTGGTCTGTGGGATTCTGAGGTTGTCTTCCAGTTCTAACATTTCTTAAAATTCTGCTCTGTTCAACATTATCTTTTTGTTATTGTTGTTCTGCCTAAATCTCTCTACACATCAGAGTCCATAGCTTCGTTCAGATTTCCTGTCTTTTCTACTTTATCTAATTTTCCTGTTCATCTTTTTTAATTTTTTCCTCAGTGATCTTAATACCAGATCTTTCTTTAAGTCTTACTGTTGTTCTTAGATTCTCACAGTGTGTCTAAATTTTGTATTTTAAAGGTGTAACTGATATTACAGTCTTCTTTCCTTCAGGAGATTTCTTCTTACTTTCTTTAACCGGTAGAATTTATTCAGTTTGCTGACACTTTCCCACTTCCTCAACCCCCACCCCCATTTCTTTTCAGGTTTTCTTGGTAGTTTTCCTGCAGAATTTTTTGGGGTGAAGTTTTTGCCTCCTTTTCCTTTTTTTTTTGTTCTTTTGTTGTATTTGACCTCCATCTGTCTTTTGTTTTGAGTTTAGTACAAAGGAACTAGCAGTCATTCTACCATCTTTCCGAAGGGCCTGGCTTGCATTTTAGCAGCTCCTGTCTTGGTCTCAGGGGGGGCAGCAGCAGCAAAATGGGAGAGTTCCTGGACCAGACAGTTCCCTGCATATCCCCAGGATATGAAGGCTTCCCCTCATCTATCCTCACTGCATTTTTCTGTCTCTAGCTCTTGTTCTATCCTGTTTTTATTCTCTTTACTTAAGGCCAAGTCCAAGAGTATTGAGGGTTTATGCTTTTATTAGGGGGATTTGTTCTGTTACCTTTGGGTTACGTCAAAGGGCCACACTTAAGGACCTAGAGGGCTGAGAGCTATGGCCCAAAGGTCCGTTCATATCACCTGGATATGAATGTCATTTACGTTTTACCAAAGGGCTTTCCTTGTCAAGAAAATTTTTTATTGGTTAAAGAGAGGTAACAGGGATTCAGGAAAACCTTGCCAAGACTCTTCCTGGGCACACCTTTTATCTGTGGTTAATTGGTGAGCCATCTGTAGCAAATTGTTCTGACAGGGGAATCAGGAAATGTTGAGGTCACTATAATGTTCAGTTCCCATGTTAAAAGCATTTTCGGTAACAAGTGAACTTTCTTAGTTGGTTAACACTTGGTCTGCTTCCTAACATCAACTCTCACTAATGATATCATATGTCATGTAATGTTTTAATACAACCACTAATAGCCAGATGCTATTAGAACCACTCTAATCTTTATTAGAGACACTACTCTTCAGAAGATGAAGCCAAGGATATTGTGGGGGTAAGGATGATTCAGATGGATGATGCTGCTTGTTTAAACTGCACTGAGAGAGAAATTAGTTGTAGAGGGCATCATTATTTAATGTTCTGGTGGGCAGAATAGAATAGCTTTATGAAATCTTTGTTCTTGTCCTTTAGTGACTTCAGAATTCCACTTTGAAAAAATCATAATTGGCCCCATGTATATAAAAATATTCATAGCAGAACTTTTCATGTTGGCAAAAAAAATATTGTAAACAAAGTGGGTATTTATTTCCATTCATTGGAAAATGGCTGAATAGATTTTGGTTCATAAATGTAGTGGAAACCGAACTAGGAGAACAGTGTATTAAATGACTGCAAAGTAAACAAAAAATGCAGAAATAAAGTGGCATTCTGAACAATTAGTAATGACCAATCTTGGACACAAAGAATAGAAAAAATGAAACACACATCCTTCCTTTCTGTGGAGAGGTGAATGACTGTAGTTGCCAAATGTTACTGTTTTGATTGATTGTGTTTAATTTTTTTCTCTATTGCAAGGGAAGAGTCAGTCTAGGAGTTGGGATTATATAAAGCAATGACTAATATAGAACAAGGCAAAAGTAAATAAAAAGTACTTTTAAGAAAGTAATTGTTTAAAAAACAGAACTGCCTCCTAAGAGACATTATGAAATTCAAGTCTGATGACCATTTCTTTTTCTTTTTCTTTTGCTAGATTAATGTAGGTATCAGGAGAAGACAACTGCCTGCCTCCCCTTATGCAGGGGTTACCAAGAGTGTGGAAGCATGGAGGAAAGTCGAAATGAGAAGACAAATGAAGCCCATATTCTCTTTGACCGATTTGTCCAGGCCAGCACCTGCAAAGGAACACTGAAAGCTTTCCAAGAGCTTTGTGACTATCTGGAGCTAAAGCCCAAGGACTATCGTTCCTTCTACCACAAGCTCAAATCCAAGCTTAATTACTGGAAAGCCAAAGCCCTCTGGGCAAAACTGGATAAACGGGGCAGCCACAAAGACTACAGAAAGGGGAAAGTGTGCAGTAACACCAAGGTAATAGTTGTTTGACTGTACCAGCATTATGGGGCTACAGGTTGAAGGGTTTAGAACGGGTTCCGCAAAGTGTTGGAAGACTGAATGAGGTTTGCATAGATTTCGGCAACAACTCACTGTGGAAGAGAGACTCATTTACCTTGTTCAAAAGCCAGGTGTCTGTTAGGTACATTCACTTTATGTTAGTAGTGTCATGGGAGCCTCAGCTATCCAAAGTAACAACCCATAAAGATGTGTCCTACATATGGACTAAGATTTTTATGTGTATTTTTCATTTAGAAAAGGAGCATTTCCTTCAAATAGGTGAAAAAAGGCTATCAGCCTGAGCCATAGGATAGAAGTGAACAAATAAATATAATATGAAAAATGTATTTCTTGCTTCCCCCCCCCATATTTCATATTTATTTTTACCTTCCTCTCAGTCATGTCATATGTTGCTTATAAAAGTGCGGATTTGGCATATACTGTAAATACTCACTATTGAAGCAGTCCATGCTTGCTTTTGTTACATTTTGGAAAAAGCTGGTGGGGATGTGAAATTACAAGTCAGCAGTATACTGTGCAAGTCCAACACACAATTCTTCTCAAACGATTTTTCGTGGTTTTGAGTAAAATTTCCATTCCTTGGGCCAACGTACTCCTAAAAAAGATTCTACCAAAATACGTTATGTTGATGTCATGCCTTTCGTTATTGTTCAACCTTTTGTGTACCTGCTAAGACAAATACCTGATCTCTTCCCATAGAATCTTCTCATGGAGTTTTCAAAATGGAGAACTTAGATAAGTAAGGTTTCCTTCGAACTGGAATTTAGAATTGTGTTGGGGGTGGGGGAGCCCAAACACATTTGGATCTTGAAATTACCATCCTGAGGATCCTTCAGAGCTGTTTTAAGCCTGTCCATTAGTAGGATCTCCAAGGCTCAATATTTTGTGTGTGTGTGTGTGTGTGTGTGTGTGTGTGTGGCAATTGGTGTTAAGTGACTTGCCCAGAGTCACACAGCTAGTGAGTGTTATGTGTCTGAGGCTGAATTTGAACTCAGGTCCTCCTGACTTCAGGGCTGGTGCTCGATCCACTGTGCCACCTAGCTGCCCTTAAAGGCTCAGTATTTCAAGGGCTGGAAATTAAAAAAAAAATTTAATTCCTTCAAAGCTGAAGGAATAAAAAACCATGCATACTTGCTGCCTACATTTAACCATCGTGGGCAGGTCAGTGGGATATTGTCTTGCGTGTGTTTGGGTTTGTACATAGAACTATTAAGCAAGCAGGCTTTTGAGACCCTTTTATTGATACTTAGCACTAGACTTGCACCCATCTCTTATTGATGCTTTATTCAGACCTACATGTGATGACAAGTATTTATTAAAGCATTGAATTCTGTGGCAATCTTGCTCCAGATGGGAATGTTGAAAGGAATTATTTCAGAGAAAACTTTGGAAGGCCTATACAAGAGTTTCATTTTTCTTTTCTTTCCCCCCTCCTCCAGCTTGGGGCAGGGGGAGAGGTGGGAAGGAGTAGGGAACTAGCAGTAGGATGTCCAAGAAAAGACAAATAAAAAAGGTGGCCATTGGAACATTTTTTTAAATGCATAAAAGTAAACAGAAGGAATGACAAATAGGACAGCTTCAAAAGTTATGTGTTGAAGTTATCACATACTTTATTTTTTTGCGTTTTTATTTTTATTGTTATCATATACTTAAAGGAAAAACTACCTGCATTTAAGAAAGATTCAGTTGCACAAATTACAGTCTTGCTTCTCTGTTCTACATTGTATATGGAAATGCTCATTTTATTTAGTGTTTTATGTTCAAAATGAAAAAAGAGAAATGGGAGAAAAAGTAAATGGGAAATGTTCTTCGGGTGGGAGTTGTGAAATTATGAATCTATTATACAACTGTGGATTATCTCTAAAGGTGCTTCTCTTGCCCTAATAGTAGCTGTGTGTTTCAGTGTCTCATCATTGGAGCTGGGCCTTGTGGCCTTCGCACAGCCATTGACTTGTCCTTACTGGGAGCCAAGGTGGTGGTCATTGAGAAACGGGATGCCTTCTCCCGCAACAACGTCCTACATCTCTGGCCATTTACCATACACGACCTGAGGGGTCTGGGTGCCAAGAAGTTCTATGGCAAGTTCTGCGCGGGGGCCATTGACCACATCAGTAAGTGACATGGAGTCTCTAGAACTTGTCTTCCAGAACCTTTCATTTTGTTTCGGTAGGAAGGAGCAGGTGGTACATTGGAAGAATTCTACTGTAGTCCAGTTTATGTGGTAGTGGTAACATGGTATGTAGCTAGATTAATTCTAGTTGTGTTCTCTCCAGATGTCTTGAACTATATTTTGTGCTTGGATTTCTAAGATAGCTGCAACTTATTGCAAACTGGCATTGCTTCCTTAGGCAGCAGTAGCCCATCTGAAATGGTTTGGAACCATAGGATATCTGGATGAGAAATTAAATAACAGTCTTGATGCCAAGGCAGTTTTATTAATGAGCCTATATCCTGAGTGCACCCAGATGTCCTCCTTTGTTTCTCTTAGACTCCATACCCTCTGTAGCAGAGGCAGCAGTGGCTTTGAGCAGTTGTACAATTTTGTATCGCATTATCCAGCACCTACTGTCTTCTACTGGCTAGAGAAATTATTTCTTCCTCTGCTAGACTAGAATCTGTAAACTGTCCTATAAACAGCTGTCTACAAATAAAATGCATAATAACAGGGGATGAAATTGCCATTTTGGGGATAGTTATTCAAAGAGGTAGCAGTTCTGGCAGCCAAAAAGAAGAACTACGCTGGATTGTAGTAAGATGGTTGTGCTCTCAAAAAAACTATGTATAGGCCATGGGTTGTATTGGTTTTAGAAAAGGACCTAAGCTGTATTAATTCAACAGATCTGTCTGCCTGTTATTTGTCGTTTTATTTGATAGGCAGTGTGGTAATAGTGCAAAAGAGGAAGATCTAGATTCAGATTCTGTCTCAAATACTTAATAGCTGTGTGACCATGGGCAAGTCCTATGAACCTCTATTGACCTCATTTCTCTCATCTGTAAAATGGAAATATAATTTCTCTACCTTTATCACAGAATTATTTTGAAAAAGTGCTTGTTAGACCATCAGATGCTATATAAAGGTGAACTACCATCACTTTTGCTGACAGTTTATCATGGAAATAAAAGTTTTCAGAGATCATTTAATCCATGTCCTTTAAAAATAATGGCTTTCTCATATTTTTGTAGCCCCACCTAAAGGCAGGAGATAACTTAGACAATCTTAGGAGGTTCATTTCAACCTAAACATTGTTGGCTTAGGTAGTTCTTAAACTTCCTTTAAACTTTGCTTCTCCCAAGTCTTTCTAGCAACCCAGCTTTCTTGTCACCTAATCAATACAGGTAGCATCAATATTGAACAGTACTTGGTAGTGGAAGGAGCTTGGAACAGAATTACAAAATGATCATCCCAGCTTTGCCATTAACTATCTGTATGACTTTTGGTACTTTACCTTTTTCATCTGTAATATAGAAATGACATTCCTGAGAAGTAGGTAGGACAAATATTGAGAAAATAAGAAAACAAATTTGAAAGGAAGGCACTTTGCAAAAATACGTGTATGGTGGTATTATTTTGGAGAAGTAATGAGATTATTTCCAGCCCAATGGAGGGTGGTGGTGGTGGAGGAACTATATTTCATGGCAGGGCTGGCATTTTTAAGATCAAATCCAAAATTACTGATTATTACTGCTGATAACTTGTATTTGTTAATGCTTCACAGACTAACTTCATATACATGTTTTTGTTTGATAGTCACAAAAATCCCACAAAATAGGCAAGAAATGTAATCCCATGTTACAGTTCAGGAAACTTGAGGTTAAGACAAATTAAGTGACTTGCTCAGAGTCTTATGGCTAATAATGACAGAGGAAAGATCAGTAAATAGCCAGTTCTTCTGGCTCCTTATGTAGTGCTTTTTATCTGTCATTGTATTGCCTGTCTTTGCAAGCAACTTTGCTAGGCACTGTTGAGAACAGAAGAAGTATCAGACATAGTTCAAGTCCTCTAAGAAATTTGTATTCATTTTTCTCGGTCCTCTACTTTTCTTAAAGCCTTCCCTTATATAGACTATTGGGAAAGACTTTGGACAGGGAACCAGCTTTTAATTTCAGACATATCAGATTGTGTGACCTTTAGTAAATGATTTAATTTATAGGCCATAGGTGCAGGGTTACAGGTTCCTCTCTAGGCAAAATTTGGGATTGGATTATGCCCCTCCTTATTTTATATATTTTATATGTTGTAAGGATAAATGAGGTAATGCAGGTATATGTAGGCCTTTTCAAAGAAAAGTGCTTTGTAATTCTATAGGAGTATAAAAGTTGTTTTCTCTTCCTTAAGGCTTATTATGTGTGAATGTAAACACATGTATTATCAGTCTTACCTTATTCAGGTGTGGCATTTCTCCCATTATGTCAAGATAGCCCAAACTAAAGAACCAAGTCTCCAGTGTTTTTCTACATTTTACTTGTGGAAGGAGGGGGAGACAGGAAAGTTGTACATGTTGGCCCTCTCTATAACCATCCCATAAAAGAAGGGAGTGGCTTTGGGTCTGGCTGGAGGGTGGACACAGGAACATATCTCCACATAATCTGTATTTGCCCTTTAAAAAAAAAAGGTTACAGGATATGACTTGGAAAATGTTTCCTGCCAGTGGAGGCATTGAGAATGTGAAAAAGCCAAGAGTGGGTGGGTGGGGGACTTGGAGAGGTGTTATGGAATGGTACCCTCTTTTCTGTATAGCTTTGCTTAAAACTGTTCTTGTGTCTATCCCTGACCTTGTTCTATAGGCATCCGGCAGCTCCAGTTAATCCTTTTGAAGGTTGCTTTGATTCTTGGCATTGAAATCCACGTCAATGTGGAATTCCAGGGGCTTGTATACCCCCCTGAGGACCAAGAGAATGAACGTAAGTTAGACCAAAACTGTTGGGGGCCTGCAGAGAGTAGAAGAATGGATGAGAAGGGGTGGAGTCAAAGAGAAAAACTGTACAAGATTATGGGTTGGTTTCAGAGGAAGAAAATTTAGTTTCCTTGTACTGCCTGGGGATCTTTGGGTCTGAAGAGTAGGCAGTGGGGTCGCTTACGACTTTGTAAGCATTGCATTTCTTGTGGCAAATGTCTTCCTTTGTGAGTCTTCTGAAGGACTTCTCTCCTAGAATTTGTAAGCCATGATTCTTCCATGTTGCTTTAAATATTGTGTATTTGGTTTGATAGTCCTCATGTCTAGAATGCCCAGAGATTTGAAGATAGCCCAAATAGGGATTTTGTAGCCTTGTTCATATGATATAGGGCTGAGAGGCAACATTCATTTGCATTTGCTTCACAGGAATAGGTTGGCGGGCACAGGTACACCCCAAAACACATCCTGTATCGGAGTATGAATTTGAAGTGATCATTGGAGGGGATGGCAGGAGGAACACCTTAGAAGGTACTAAATATAGATACACTCCTTTGCTTGGGTGGAGTAGAAAGGTGACTGTTGGCATACTTGGCCTTTTCAGATACTTGCCATGGTCATAAATGTTTTAAATGCCTATATATGGTATCAGAGTTCCATGTCTGATATACCTCATCCTTATACCTTCTAGTTGTGTGTGTGTGTGTGTACGTGTGTGCGCGTGCATGCGCGCTCGGGTGCCAGCTGCTTTGAAGCTTAAAAAATTACATTCCATGACAATTGTTAGATTTCCCTTCCTTCTCAAACCGTACCCCTCCTCTCCTCCCGCAAGCAACCCAGGGAATACCCTTAGAGTATTGTAGTATATTCAGAAATATCTCCTAAAGTCCAAATAGAAGAAGACAGGCTTCTTATGTTGCTCATCTCCTTAGTAGTAGCAACACTGTCAAGTCACAGTTCATGATATTGGGATTAAAATCAAACTATAAACTAGGTAACATCTCATCCCTGGATGCTCTCCTGCGTATCAGTCTTCTTTTGTAGTTGAAAGGAGGGCGTGACAATTTCGAGTTTTTCTCCCTTCTCCTCCCTGTACCCTGAACCCTGTCATGTTTCATCTCTCTCATTCAAATTGATCATTCTAGTAAGACTTCTCTGGGAAACTTTATTTTTCTCTAGGGTTTCGTCGGAAAGAATTTCGAGGCAAGTTGGCCATTGCCATCACAGCAAACTTCATCAACCGCCATACCACAGCAGAAGCCAAAGTAGAAGAGATCAGCGGCGTAGCCTTCATATTCAATCAGAAGTTCTTCCAGGAGCTTCGAGAAGCTACAGGTTGGTGGTAGATGTTGTGGCCCTTGACAGGGTTAGAAATACAAATACTCAGTTTAGGTGTGGAAATAAGCAAGGAACATGGGAGATAGTTTAGTAAAACCATAAGATTCTTAAATATGGCATTTTCTACTATTATTTCCCTTCAACTGTTTACCAGTACTCTGTCCTTTTCAGAGCAAAGAAGTTATGTCAAGATAGTTTAAATTTTAGGTTCTCTTCTCCCTTCAACTTTCCACCCCAAACCTTGGTGATGAGAAGAAAATTACCATTTATGTAGCTTCAGGAGTTTCAAAACATTTTATATATAACTGATTTGATCCTCACAACCACCCTGAATTAAATCCTCTTGTTATTTCTAATCCCCACTTTGCAAATAAGAAACTAGAACTGAGAGACCTTAAGTGACTGGCCAGGTAAATGTTTGGGGCACAGTTTGAACCCATATCATCCCCACTCCAAGTTTAGCATTCCATCCAAGATGCCAAGCTTCCTCTTATTACGAGTTAAGGCATATTGGTAGAAATTCATTCTCTAGTTTTTCACTGGGGCAATGAAACTCACTTTAAGGATAAGGTGTGGTTTAAGTTCTCTGGCTCTGTTCTAAGATAGCCAAGAGACTCATGTTCTAATCTTACTCCTACCACTGAGCTGCTGTATGGTGTGGGGCAAGTCACTTATCCTCTCTGGAACTCAGTTTTCTCATTGATAAATTAGGGAGTTTAAACCATTTTAAAATTTCTACGATTCCAGTCTTCTAAAATCCAACTCAAATGCCACCCTCTCTGTGAAGCCTCCTTTGATTTCACCCTCATTAATAATCTTTGCTACCTTGGACCTTATTTGGTTTTTGATTTTACAACTTTCTAATGCACATAGATATGGTTGTATTTTATCTTCCCTTTTCTTTCTTTACTTTAACTTGGTGACCTTCTCAACTCCTGCGAGTATCTCTATGCAGATGACTCTTACTCTCTACTGACCTCTGGTCCTGAATCATTAGCTGCTTATGTTTCAAATGGGATGGCTCCTGGACTCAATTCGTGCAAAACAGAGCTCATTAACTTTATCCCACAACCACACCCCTCTTTTGAACTTCCCTGTTTCTGTTGAGACCAATCCTACCAGTCTCCTAAGTTCACAATCTTAGCATTATCCTCAATTCCTCACTTTTACTCACCCCATATATGCAGTGAGTTGTCAAATCTTATTATTTTTACAGCTATAACATCTCTCATATCTGTCCCCTTCTCACTATTCACAAAGCCACTACTTTAGTTCAAGCTCTGATTATCTCTTTTTAAGACTGTTTCATTGGCCACCTAATTAGTCTCCCTGCTTTAAGTCTCTAGCCGTTCTAATCTATCCTCACAAATCTCTAGTAATTTCTCTTGAGCACAGATCTCAGCGTGTCAATTCCACTTGCTCCTTATTGCCTCTAGGTTAAAATATAAACTTTTGTTTGGCTTTGAAGCCCTACCTACCATTCCAATCTGCTGCCTGCACTCAAACTACCTTGTATTTATTTTGTGTATATACTTCAATAATATACATAGTGTCTTCTACCTCTTCCTACCTGGGGAACTGTTTGAGGGTTATTTAAGACCAGGGACTATTGTAGGGTTATTATAAGGATCAAATGAAACAATAGATGTAAAGTACTTTGGAAATCTTAAAGTCCTATATACATTTTAGCTATTACCATTATTTGTTTGTTTATTTGGCTTTGATTGTCTATAACAGTGGTGTCAAACTCAACTAGAATGAGTACCACTAATCCAAGAGTCCCTATGGGCTAATCATTTACTTAGAGTTAAAATGTAATATTATTTGTGTTTTATTGTATTTTTATTTTGCTGAATATTTCCCAATTACATTTGATTCTGGTTTCATGCCCACACTCAGGAGTGTTCTACACCATAGTCTGTAAGTTCCATGATAGTAGCGATTTTGTTCTCCTTCAGCATTTAGCACGGTGCTTTGAACAGAATAGGCAGTTAATAAAGATTTGTTGCATTAAATTGATTTTAGATAGATAAACTACAGTTTTTTTGCTTTGATGTTTCTTCATTCTTCACTACTGAAAACTCGGTTTTTCTCTCTAGCACTCATCTTCATTTAAATCACTGGACTAAAAGATGATCTAATCTACTCTCTGCCATCTAGCTAGCATGTATGTCTTTAGTTCTCCTACCTAGATAATTCTTTATACTTCCCATTTAGAACTGAAATCTTTGCATTTCGTCTAAGGCCTTCATACATTTTAAAACCATTTCTTTTATTTTTCCCTTTCCTTAGTTCTCTTTACTAAAGTTAGATTTGTTCTTTTTCTGTACATTTCTCCTTGGTTCTCTGTGGTCCCATATTCAGTCATGTTAATGATGTTTGGGAAAGCAGTTAAATTTATACATTTGTCTTCTGGCTACAGGTATCGATTTGGAGAACATTGTCTACTACAAAGATGACACACACTACTTTGTTATGACAGCCAAAAAGCAGAGTTTACTAGATAAAGGAGTGATATTGAATGTAAGTTGAGTTTGTTTTAAAATATTTTCCTTTTATACTGAATACTTTCTGGTAATGTTCACCAGGGGGCTGAATTATATGATTATCCTAGTCCCCAACCCCTCTACCTTATTTCTTCCAAGAAAAATAGAAAGTAATCCCATCCCTATCACCTGGAAAAATAAGCTTTTCCTTTAGTGCTGTGTTAACAGTGTTAAGCCACTGAGATTTCAGAGGCTAATTGATGACTTAATTTGAAGTTGTAGAGGATGCTATGTTATGGGACACAGCAGATTTGACACAGAGGAGCTATTGACCTGGCTCATAAAAGTGTGGGTGCTGTTCTGTACTTACTGTATACGTTTTTATCCAGATTACGCTTGAGCATAGGCCAGGTAATGGTAAATTCAATTCAAGCCAAATTTGGTCTGTCTTCCTTAGAAATAACCACTCAGGGTGTATCTTCCTGTCTTTAGCCTATTGTGTCCCAACCTCTTGCCCAGGTGATTAATTGTAGGGTCCTTGCCTTAGGATGATATCTGAAATGCCAGATTATCAGGTCCCATTTGGCTTGAATAGTTGATGTCTTCTTATTAATAACCTTAGCACCAGGACGAAATCCTACAAAAGGGAACCTTCCCTTGGAGCCTCAGAATCCTAGGGATTCACTATTGTATTGCTGTATGAGGAGAGAGAGAGGTAAAGAGACACCCAGTATTGATACAGGTCTATTCTAGACTTCTGTTCTCACCAGAAATGGGCAGGTGTGTTTTAGATAGTTCTTTGTGTTTGCGGGGTAAAAGTACATGATGAGTTTCAATTTAATTTCAGGGATACTGTTCCCTTATCTAAGCACAAAGTAAGTTGGGAAATGATAAGCATAAATACGTAGCACAGTTGTTCCCTTTTGCCCCTAAATCTAGCCCTTGATTAGCCTACTTTTCCTTCAACCTAATGGGTATGAAGAAAACAAGACACTTGGGCAGTTTGACATAAGCAGTATATGCCCTATTGTTGCTTCAAAAAAACTGGACTTTTTTTTTTAATGTCTGAGCTGTCATCTATATCCATCAAACTGTCATACCAGGGAACCAAGACTTATTTCAGATCCCCTGCCTTAGACAGACTGTATTTGGTGAAAGGAAATATGTAGGAACAATTTTAGAATTTCAAGACCTGATTTACTTTTCCTTTTTATTTCCTTCCCTAGAAGGCAACAGGGATTATGCCATATGTATATCCTGACAAGCCTCCTTCAGACTCTCATTCACCAGTGAGCAAACATAGTTTTCCAGGACAAGCTTGAATGTTTCTGTTTTGGCTTTCAATGATTTATAAATAAATGCTATCAGTGGTACTTTAGACCGTTAGGGCCTACTTCGATAAAATAGGAAACATCAGTGCTACTGTTCAGATCCTACAGTTTCGTCATAAGGGAAGGAATGTCTGATACCATTTTACAGAAACTTTGTTCTGTCATCATTATTTTCCCCTTTGAAGATGGAGTCTTCTGGGTCCTTTCACAATTTAATTTTCATTTATTGTGTTGAATACATTTTTTTCCTATTTGCAATATATTTCTTCTGCCTAACCTCCTGGGCTGCTGTTGCTGCCTACCTTAAGCACTGAACTTTAAAATCTTTCCTTTAGACTGTATTTGAGATAGGAAGGTCATTTGGTAGTGATGATTTAGGTTATTTTGGTTGCAGAATCCCATTTTAGAGTTTAGCTTTTTGTGAGCTGAAATGATTAGAAACATCCTTTTAAAATTTCTTTTATTGATATTTTCTGTTTTTATATCACCTTTATGTTTTTATATATCTTTCCCTCTTCTTACCCAGAGAGCCATCCCTTATAACAAAGAATACAGTTGGGGGGGGGGGGCGTGCACCAGTTCTAAACAACACATCAACTGAGTCTGAGAGAATATGCAATGTATGCTTCACATCCTTCATCATTCTTCCCCCTTCTGCACCCCTCCCCCAAAAAACAAAAGGAAGGAAGGAGGGAGATGCATTTCCTTGTCTGTCCTTAGAAGTTAAGCTTGGTCGTTATAATTACACAGTATTCACTTTTGGGAATTTTGTTTTTATAGTCGTTGCATATATTGTTTTCTTAGTTCTTGGTTTGCATCAGTTCACATCTTCCCATTCTTCTTTGAATTTTTCATATTCATTGCTTCTTAGAATGTAGCAACATTCCATTATTTTTATGTATCACAATTTTAAAAAATTTTAAGTCTCTACCTGAGTTTTTCCATCATGAATCTCTTCTCTATTTGGAGACAGGACTATGCTGACACAGAACTCTTACTGTCTCGGGAGAATGTAGACCAGGAGGCTCTGCTCAGCTATGCCAGGGAAGCAGCTGACTTCTCTACCAATCAGCAACTGCCTTCATTGGACTTTGCCATCAATCACTATGGGCAACCAGATGTGGCCATGTTTGACTTTACCTGCATGTATGCATCAGAGAATGCAGCCCTGGTTCGGGAACAGAATGGTCATCAGTTATTGGTGGCCCTGGTTGGGGATAGTCTGCTTGAGGTGAGTATGAGGGAAGTTGTTGTTCACTTGTGTCCAACTCTTTGTGACCACATTTGGAGTTTTCTTGGTGAAGAGGAGTGGTTTGCTATTTCCTTCTCCAGCTTATTTTACAGAGAAAGAAACTGAGGCAAACAGGGTTAAGTAACAGGCTCACACAACTAGTAAGTGTCAGAGGCTGGATTTGAACTCATGAAGATTCATCTTCCTGATTCGAGGCCCAGAGTTCTATCCACTGCACCACTGGCTGCCTGAGTATGAAAGAAGGGGAATGATATTTTATAGGGGAGTAATGTATCTGATACTACAGAATGAGCCATAGTTAGTGATATGAGTGGAGTTTTTATATATCATATATTTACTATAGCAAAACTTCCAGCAGAATGTCATGCTTTTTCAATTCATGTTTCCCTTTTAACTTATTTTACTTTCTTTCTCTTTCTGCACTTCCCCCAACCCCTCTTCACCCTCAAAAAAACTTTTATGCAGCCTTTTTGGCCGATGGGAACTGGAATAGCCCGTGGCTTTTTGGCTGCTATGGACTCAGCCTGGATGGTCCGAAGCTGGTCTCTAGGAATTAGTCCCCTGGAGGTCCTAGCAGAAAGGTAATGGAAATGGGTACACTCCTGTTTGATAATTAACACGGATATTCGTTACTTCTCTCCTGGAAACCTCGTTAGCTTCTGTGAATTTAACTGTCACCTCCTTACAGATGACTCCCAGATCTGTATTCAGCCCTGTTCTTTCTCCTAAACTTCAGTCCTGTTTCATCAATTGCTTCTTGGATATTTCAAACTGGATCTTCCTAAAACTATCTTAAAGTCAGCATGTCTAAAGCTGAATTCATTATCATTCCTCATAAACTCTGTCCTCTTTCAAACTTCCTGTTTCTGTCAAAGGCACTATTATCCTTCTAGCATCTCAAGTTTGTAAGCTTGGCATTATCATTATTATTATATTATTATTATTATTATTATTATTATTGACTCCTTGCTTTCTCTCATCCCACACATGCTATCACTGGCCAAATCTTGTCATTTCTTCCTTTACAACATCTCTCACATGTAACCCCTTCTCTCTACTTGCACACCTAACCACCTTCATTCACCTGCTAATCATCTCTTGCCTAGGTTATTGTAACACCTTCCTAATTGGTCTCCCAGCTCAAAGTCGTTCATTACCCCACTCCATTTCTCACAAGGTTGCCAAAATAATTTTCCTTATGTACATCTGACCACGTCAATACCCTACTCTGTCAATTCCAGTGTCTTCCTGTTGCCTTGGAAAGAAACTCCTTTGTTTAGCTTTTAAAGTCCTACACAACATAGCCCACCCTACCTTTCCAGCCTCATTAGACATCATCTCTCTGTCTCTCTCTGTCTCTCTCTGTCTCTCTCTCTCTCTCTCTCTCTCTCTGTTTCTTACTCTCACACACACACTCTACAATTCATCCACCACCCACCCCACCCACCCCCACAACGTACACATGTACTATACAGCTCCCACAAATTCACCTTCTCTGTGTTGCTCACTCATAAAGCAGCATCTTCTATCTCTGTGCCTTTGTACTGGCTGTCACCTATGCCTGGAATGCTCTTCTTCTATACTTCTGCTGCATAGAGTCCCTCTCTTCCTATAAGATGAAGTCCATTCACCATTATCTGCAGAAAACTTCTCCTGATCCACCCAACTGTTAGTGGCTTCCCTCCCAAACTATCTTGTTTTTAGCTATTTTGTGTGTACATTTACAAAGTAAACTAAGTAAATACACATATACACAAATAATTATACATATATGTATGGATTAGCTTTTTATTTTTGCTGTATATGTGTGTGCCTTTTTTTTTTTTTGGTGTGTGGCAGTTGGGATTAAGTGACTTGCCCAGAGTCACATAGCTAGTAAATGTTATGTGTCTGAGGCCGTATTTGAACTTGGGTCCTCCTGACTCCAGGGCCAGTGCTCTATTTTTATATGCACTTGTCTCCCCCATTAGAATGTAAGCTCATTGGAAGTAAGGAAATGTTTCATTCTTTGTACTTTTATCCTCAGCACTTAACATAGTGTCTGGTACATCGCAGTCACCTAATAAATATTAATTGCTTTAACTTGGGTTCTCATGTCTATCTAACTTTGTCACTCAAAGACACCTTTTTTTTCCTTGGTTTAATTTTCTCCTATAATATGCAAGAAAGACAAGGTTATTTTGTGAGATCTTATAATTGGAAGGAACCTGGTGGTCTAGTCTAACCACTACCTGAAATTTCTGCTTGTAGATCAGTATTAAGGGATGATAATTCTACTGTGTATTTGATTAGGTGGTACCTGGTTCTTTTGTGATAACATTAAGAGGTTAAATACTTAATTAGTTGCTTTTATCATTAGAATCAGGACCTCATTCTTGCCCTAAGCAGTGGAATCTATGGTGGCTCTCTGGCCAACAGCCAGTCTGTTTCCCATGTCATCCTTTCAGTGAGTCGGGAAAGCAAGAAATGTTATATGATGTGTGGCAAGTAAGCAAGAATAGAATTTTTCTCTGTGTCCTTCAGTCCTCTTATGTATACAATTAGAAGAGTAAATGGATGTTACTGATATTATGGCAGGTCTTTTGAGTAATATTGGTATGTGATGTTGCAGGGAAAGCATTTATAGGTTGCTGCCTCAGACCACTCCTGAGAATGTGAGTAAAAACTTCAGCCGTTACAGCATCGATCCTGTCACCAGGTATCCCAATATCAATGTCAACTTCCTGCGGCCAAACCAGGTGAGGTCCCTTTAGTAAGCCATCAGCTGGACTCAGTTTTATGATAGTTCTAAGCTCGTCTGTTCACAAGGATCTATCTGATTATAATATAATACTTTTTTTTTTTGGTGTGGACCTGTGATTTCACCATGTAGGTGCCTGATGATGTGCATTTATAAAACATTTTTAAAAGTCTGAAAGCTTTGTTATAGTATCTCCCATTGCCTCATGACATTCCTGTATGATTGAGAGTGGTGGATGCAATTTTCATTTGGTAGATGGAGAAACCAAGGCATTGCTGATGGTGGCACCAGCACTACAACCCAGGTTTACCTGACTTAGTCCCCTGCTTTGTTTTTTCTCATTATTTATGTAGTAGCATTAATGTTTGAGGCAAGAATCTGAATTTTTCAAAAGTACAAATACGTGCCTCTTATCCAAAGTTTAAGTTTTGGGGAGGGGTCTCCTCTTATTTTCTTCTGCTTTTATATTAAGAGAATTGAGTCTCCTCTTTCTACAAAAGGCAAGGGGTTCTTATGTCTCTTGATAGAAGGTTGTTTTGTGAAGTATCCCTATTGCACCATCACTCTTCTGTGTTGTGACTAAGAGAGTGTCGATTTTAACTGCTTGGTTGCAGAGTTAAATGCAGCACAGTATATCAAGGCTTGTGGAGTCTTTCTCTGTTCTTCTCAAGCTAATGTTTTTTTTGTTTTTCAAAATAAAAATTGTTGGTCTTCAACATCTTCAGCCTTGAGAAAATTAGGATGTGGATGCTAGGATGTGGGATTTTAGCATTTCTCTTCCTAAGCAACCTATTGTGCTAATAACTTGAGATTTACTAGTGAGGCATGGCATTGTTTCTTTTAACCCACAATTCTTCTCTAGGTGCTTCATTTATATGACACAGGAGAGCTGAAAGATGTTCACCTGGAAATGGAGAACCTAGTGAACTCTCAAGTAACGCCAAAGCTCACCCGAAATGGTAAGTTCAAGCAATGGTTTCCCCAAGTGGTATTTATTCAGGTTAAGTACACTTAGACGGCATGGTGTGTTGAAGGGAGAGCTGGCAATAGAGTCAGGAAAACCTTGGTTCAGCTCCCCCTCTGACCCATCCTAGCTATATGACATTGAGAAAATCCTTGAGCCTTTGCATCTCAGGCAACTCTTTTAGACTACAAATTGCACAATTGCAGATTTGTAAAAGGAGTTTCTTCACTGGACCCTCCCTTAACCTAATAAAACCACAAGTTTGAGGGGGGAAAAGGCACCCCAAACAGAGATTATATGATGTGCCCTCTAATAGTAAGAGGTAGATGAGAAGATGATCCTGAATTTTTGTCTAAAATAACATTTCCACTTTGAAAAGTACTGCATAAAAGTAAATGTTCTTGCTTTTAATTAATATTATTGTCATGTGGGTAAGATACTTGTGACCTCCTTTAAGTTATTGAATAAACTTTGGTTGTGAACATATAGTATTTAACAGGTTATTCTTCAAAGTTAGAACTATGATAGTATGAAACTAATTTTTCTTTTAAGTATTTTTTTATTATGTACTTGACAAACACCAACAAACATGAACATTACCATATTTAAGGAAGAACAGAAAAAGGATTATGTCTTACATACAGCTTATTTCAAGTATATATTAGACTTAGCATTCTAATTTCAACCTGGCCCTGCTTGTCCTCATCCAAACCTTTTCTTTTCTGTGTGTTTTTAAAATGTTTCATTGATTCTTTTTCCCTCTTTCCTTGTTTTTAGTTTTTGGGGTTTTGAAGAGTTTTTTTGAGGAGGTGAGGCAGGAGGGGAATAATAGTGACTCTTAAGAGAGTTTATTTTTATAAGAGTGAATTAATGTACCCTAGTATAAAATGTGCCCTCTGGCATTCACTTCCCAGTGATGTGGGTTTCATTGTTCCTTACTACTCAAGTTGGTTTTTCAGGACCGTGTGGTTGAGAAGCTGGTTTTTAGCAATAATTCTCAGGTACTTGAGAGAAACATACCAGCCCCTCTTCACTAATTCTGCTGCTGTCTTATCATCCTATTTATTTCTCTGGATTCAAAGGAAATCTTACGCTATGCTCTGGTATTAACATAAAAACTCTAATCAGCTTTGTCCCATCCCTGGTATATATGAAGTCAAGTAAGTTTCTTTTGCTATAAACTTTCTGTGTTTTCAAATATTGAACTTATAGACTTTAACAAATGTCACTGTTTCTAGCCATGAGATTTATTCATAGTGTCAGATAATAGAGAAATATAGATTCTTGAATAATTTATTCCATTGTGTTGGGTGTCATAGCCATATTCACATCTTGAAAAGAGAAATAAGAAGGCCTTCATTGGACTTCCTTCTCTAGCTGCTGGTTCAGCCTTATCCCTGTTCCAGTCACTCCTATCATTCACTTACCCACTTATGTCTGGAAAAAAGTCTTTCCCTCCAAAAATATCTCATCAGTTCTCATCAGTGTAGTTATGTCAAAATGCCTATCAGAATTTTCCCAGTGGCAGCAAACTCAGTTTTAAGATCTTTCTCTAGCAAAGTCTGCCCATTTATCTCTGATTCCCTTAAAGATAAAAAATTTTCTATAAGAAGGACTATTTAAGCTGGGATTACTCTTTAAAAGTACCTTTCTCAATTTTAGCAGCCTTTAAAAAGGAGTTTTCTCACCTTCCGATATTATTCCAGGTAGGGCTTCTTTCTGTATTTTTATTTCTGCTTTGCAAAAATATGAGGCTAGAACTTCTGGTTATTATTAAAAAAAAAAAGATTAGCTGCTAGTTAGAATGGGTCTTTGGAAACTCATATATTCTTCTCCATTGTATTTGAATGAAGGATTTCCTTCTGAGTAGAGTCATCAGCAGATTCACAAAACATCTATGGGACCTAAGAATCAGTGATGACTCAGTAGTTCCTATCTTCCATTTGAGCTCTTCAGTGACTGGCTTTAAAAAATAAAAACAAACAAACAAACAAACAAACCAGCTATGGAAGTGAGCAGAACCAGATCATTTTAGACAATGATTACAATATTGTGAAAGAAAACAGCTTTTAAAAGTTTAAGAACAATGAGCAAGACTTAAAATTAATGATCAACTGCCTCTTTAGATGGATGATAATAAAATCAGGATTCTGACCTCTTGGCAGACAGATGATGGACTAGAGGTCCATAGAAGGAGGCATATATTTTTCAGACGTAGTGGTGTGAATTCATTTTGTTTCATTATACTTAGTTGTTAGAAGGAAGGGCTTTTATTTTTTGTTGCTGGACAGGGTTATGAAGGGAGAGGAATAGTAATAGTAATGCCAGAACACAGAGTGCCTAAGTTCACAAGGGGATACAGATGAGCCAGTGCTGTGTTAAATTTAATTAATATGTGCTTTAAAAGATAAGAGGTGCATAATAGAGATTCATGGAATATACAGATCCAATCTTCCTTTTCTGTTCTTTGAGGAATGAGGTAGTAGGATTTGTCTCTACCCATAGAGGCACTAATGTGTAATGTGGGGTCACTCCTTCTCACTTATAGGTCACCCCTCCCCAGGTACTTGAATACATCTGATATTTAATCTTTTGATCCTAAGCTTTAGGGTAACTTAGATATATTTTATATTTCTTCATTAATTAATAACATTTCAACATATGCCTTAACTATCTCAGCTTAGTACCTCCAGCTAATTACATATTATTTAATAAACTGAAGAAACCTCTTTTCCCTATAGTAGTTACTCATGTCTTTCCAAATATGAAATCTCTTAATATCCAAGGATTAAACAAATATTAAAGTTTCTTGACATGGAATACTTTAACTGTGAATTCAATAATAAAACAAAGACGTAATATTTATAATAGTTTAGCAGTGAAAATGATCACAGCCAGAGTCACCTACAGTGTTCACAGTAATTATAGATGACTTTACTTCAGTTATGAGAACACAGTTTGGCACTAATCTGTGCAGGATAACACATAAATTCTCTTCACAAGATGAAGTTTACAATACTTTCATGAAGAAATGAACTATTTCTGTCTTCCATCTCTGTGTCTTCAGTTTATCTCCAGCCATGATGGGAAAACACAGTCTCTTCTGTTTCTCTCAAGCCTTCACTCTTAATGTTTATTTTTTCCAGTAATTTGATATGTAAAATATACGTGTGTGTGTGTGTGTGTGTGTTTTTCCCCAATCACATGTTAAAACATTTTTTGACATTTTTTTAAAACTTTTGAGTTCCAAATTTAATTCCTCCTACCCTCCCCTCTCTGTAAGCAATCAAATATAGGTTATACATGTACAATCATGTAAAACATTTCCTTATTAATCATTTTGTATAAGAAGACTCAAATAAAATAAAAAGAATGAGAGAAAGTGAAAAACTGTGTGCTTCAGTCTGTATTCAGACAATATCAGTTCTTTCTCTGAAGGCAGATAATATGTTTCATTAGTCTTTCAGAATTGTCTTGGATCATTGTATTGCTTGTTTTGGTTTGGTTTTTTTGCTAGGTAATGGGGTTAAGTGACTTGCCCAGGGTCACACAGCTAGTAAGTGTCAAGTGTCTGAGGCCAGATTTGAACTTGGGTCCTCCTGACTCCAAGGCCAGTGCTCTATCCACTGCACCACCTAGCTGCCCCGGATCATTGTATTGCTGAGAATAGTTAATTCATTCACAATTCTTCATCGTACATTATTGCTGTTACTGTGTATAACTTTCTCCTGGTTCTTCTCACTTCACTTTGCATCAGTTCCCAATGTTTCTTTGTTAACTAACATTTAAGAAAGGTCTAATATAAAAAAAGTTTCTCACCTTTTTCTTGGTCTTCTCCATTGTTTATCTCATATATCAAACTTTATTTTACACATATTCTCCTTGACTCTAGGAAAAACATCTCAATATGATATTAGTTACAACTATACCTCCAATTTTCTCTCAAGACAGCTACAATTTCTATAGCCTTCGTAGGGGAGGCTTTTGAAATAGGGGTTACATTTGTATATAGAAAAGAAACTTTTTAATATTTGTTTAGTTTAGAATAATAGGGGCAGCTAGGTGGCACAGTAGATGGAGCACTGGCCTTGAAGTCAGAACAACCTGAGTTCAAATCCAGCCTCAGACACATAACACTTACTAGCTGTGTGACTCTGGGCAAACAAACAAAACAAAACAAAATAAAAATAAAATTTAAAAAAATAGTTTAGAATAATAAAAAAAGAAAAAAAACAGCTACAGACCAGTTCATTTATTTCTTTTCACTGTTTGAAGGAAGTAGCTCTGACTTCTGAAGTTAGAGTCCAAATAGGATGATGGTTTCTGGTCTAGCCCCCACATTCCTCCTGTCATTATCTGAAGTTGTTATTCCTCGTTGGCTTCTTTTGAGAACAGATGATTCTTATACTTCCTCCACAGACAAACTTTGCAGACTGCATTTGTATACTGTACAGTGTTTTTGGAGGATTCCTTAGCTATACTGTTAGGTGACCAGTGACTGCTATGACTTTCTCTGTATTTTTAGAGTCTGTAGCTCGTTCCAGCAAGCTGCTAGGCTGGTGCCAAAGGCAGACAGATGGCTATGCTGGAGTGAATGTGACAGATCTTACCATGTCCTGGAAGAGTGGCCTGGCTCTTTGTGCAATTATCCATAGATACCGCCCTGATCTCATGTAAGTTGTGGTAAACTATATTTTTATTTTTTTTCTTGCCCAGAAATCTCAGTGTCCTGCCTGTGGTTAGCTATATGTTTTTCTTTTAGTCGGGTAAAGTGCAGGGTAAAGCAGTTTATCTCAATGACAATAATTCATATGCAGCCAGTTATAATTAAGCATCATCTGCAAGGCACTATACAAGCTCAGTTTAGACACAGGGTTAAGAAGCCCCACACCCTTCATGTGGGCCTGCTTTTTTCACATATAGAAAAGCCTATCATTACCCTTGAAGAAACAACTAAGAATACTGATATGGTCGGTGGTGTTATTTCCTTCTTATCTTCCAGTTCCATTAAACAGCTGTAAGTAAATACTTCAGTCCCCACACAGAGTCCCACAAAATAGATTCACATGAAAGTGAAATGAAAAGATACTATTTTTTACATAATAATCAATATGCAATACCTTTGTGCCAGTTTCCCCATTGATTTTATTTTCATAGCTAGCTAAGGGATATTTAAAAAGCATTCTCATACAAAGTAGAGAAAGACGTTTTCAAAATGTTTTGATAATAGAAATTTCTAGTTTTCTTGAATAAGATGTATTTATGTATTTTACCCCTCAGCCCATTTGGTGGTTACTGTGAAATGACTTGAGGGATGGGAAGGGGATGAGAAGTTTGAGGTGGGTGTTGAATAAAGAGATTAGGTAACTACATTTGGGACTTAGAAGTCAATTCTGTGCAAAAACTGTGTCCAAGAAAAATAAGCATAAGGAAGGTGTGGGGGGGAGGGCGGGGGATGGGGGGAAAAGCAAAAAAGGCTCTTGCTGTTACAAAATGGCAGATGCTGCCTTGGTTATTTCTAGCAGGTTAGTTGTTTCCTAATGGCAAAACAAAAGACACTGAGGTCATTTGGCATTGCTTAGACCTTGTTCACATACTTGACTCAGTTTGGGGTCCTGTGTTTTGAAAGGCAGAATCTGTTGACAAGAGGAATAAATTTTTTTTTAATCCCATTAAGAAAAAAAAAATAACCTCTGAGGTCTAGAGGTTAATATAGCAAGAGAGACTGCCTAGTGAGCACCAAAACACTTACAGAGGAATCCGTATCCATTTTTCCTCAGATTGAACGTCAGGGAGCTTCCAGTACAGTGGGGAAAATGTTCTTTTGAGTACTTTGGAAAACTCAGGAAATTTAGCAATGGAAAAAAATCTTCCAAGGAAAGTTGTGGAATTTCCCTTGGAGGAGTAATGCTGATTTAAGAATTACCAGAGCTTGCTTAGCAAAACAACATCTTATTATAGAGAGAGGGATACCAAGTGCCATTTGAGAAATCTGGTCTGCATATGATTGTTATTATTGAGTATATCATCAGGGCCAATAAGATAAACTAGACAGTATAAGACATATATTAAGGTTAAAGTCTGTCCATGAGCTTATAAATTTAGCTAGGTAAGAATAGTTCTAGTTTTCCCTCACCTGCTTCCCTGGAATAGATACTTGAGCAAGGATTTGCTTAGAAAATGTTTTACATTCTGTAGATCAAAGAAAAGAGAAATAGGGTCAGGTAACATGCAAGTTTCTGCCTTCAGATTCGGTAGATTGACATTTCCTTATTTGTTCCTTTAAGAAATTCATTTTTTTTAAACCTCACTTTTCAGAGATTTTGATTCTTTAGATGAGCATAACACAGAGAAGAACAATCAACTGGCGTTTGATATTGCTGAAAAGGAATTAGGAATTTCTCCCATCATGACAGGGAAGGAAATGGCTTCAGTTGGGGAACCAGACAAGCTGTCAATGGTGATGTACCTGACCCAGTTCTATGAGATGTTCAAGGACTCCATCCCCTCCAGTGGTAAGGAATCTAGGACGAAAGTCTATTATAAGTGGCAAATGCTATAAAATTCCTTCATTTCCTGTTTGTCTGAATTTCTTCCTCCCCCACCCCACCCTTCCAGCCACATCCTTCAGCTGTACCACCAAAAGCAAATTCCAACAGGGGCGTCAGTGACTAAATAGAACTTTGCCTCTTGGTCATGGAAATATATATATATTTTACATATATATATCTATTTTTTTCCATAGAAACCTGAGGAAAACCTGTACAGGCTGTTTATTTTAGTGCAATTGAACTGAAAACTAAATTTGAAAAGTGTATTAGCTCCTCCTGCAACTGCTGGCAAGCATGTAGAAAAATCAGTGTTTGGTGAAAATCTGAGTAGGCTGGTAACTCCTTACATGACTCCTCTTCACGTGCTCCGTGGTCCAGCCAAATGATGCTGCTCCTTCAGACTAGATATTCTCTGTCTCATTGCACAAGCTGTCCCTCTGCCTAGAATGTGCTCATACCTCTTAGAAAATCGCTAGTTTCCTTCAAATTAGAGATCAGACTCACTTATTTCTGACTCCTCCCTCCCCCACCTAGCTATTAGTATGTTTCCTAAAATTACTTTTTGTCTTATATTTACATAAATATAATGTGTCATTTCTCCCATTTGGACTCCAGTCTCAATCTGAGTAGTCTGGTAACTCTTTTACCAGCTCTTTGAGTGGAGGGACTGTTCATTTTTTATCTTTATATTCAGTCACTCTATAAATATTAAACACCTACTATGTGCTAGCAACTGGGCTGTGGGTACAAATAAAGGCAAGAGATAGTTTCAGCTCTTCAGGAGCTCACAATCTAATGAGGAAGATGTATTACGTGCAAACAACTACATGTCCATATGATATAAATACATTATATTCATATAGTACTAGATACATTATATTCATATAGTACTAAATATATTATATCTATATAGTACTAAATACATTATACTCATATAATACTAAATACATTAAATCTATGCTCAAGAACATAACATCCATTATTTAATACATTCTATGTATATAGTACATTCATTTATTTACCCCTAGCATATAATAGTATATATTAAACCTAAATTGTACTAAAAATGTAAAACTTAAACAAATAATCTGTATATGGGATAAACTGGGATTGCTCAGAAGAGGAGCGGTCCACTGGGTATCATGCCTCCTGCCTGATAAACATTTGTTGGTTGATCATCAAAAAAGAGGCCTGGTCAAGACTGACTACTTCTGAGTTTCTCATGGAAGTTTCTGACCCAAGTATTTTTGTTCACAGTTACTTTGGATGCTGAAGAGAAAGCGGTCCTAATTGCTAGTACCAAATCCCCCATCTCCTTCCTTAGCAAACTTGGGCAGAGCATCTCCCGGAAGCGCACTCCCAAGGTAAAGAGGGCATTTTCTTCTTATGTTGGGAAGCTGATCACATGGTGAGGGAATGTCTGGGTATGTTGACCTACAGAATAAATGTTTTCTCTCCCCTTCTCGGTACAGGATAAGAAAGAGAAGGACTTGGATGGTGTGGGGAAGAGAAGGAAGACCAGTCAGTCAGAAGAGGTGAGAATAAACTAGAAAGATAATTAGATTGAATTACCTTTATGTTCAAATTCTGCTCTTGCTGAGTCAGATTTGGGCATATTTTCATATTCATCCCTAACCTTTGTATGGACTTCTGTGGTCATATCATCTCTCTCCTTAATGTTTTCCTTTGGTGTTTTTGTTTGTTTAATATTATTATTGTTGTTGTTGTTATTGTTGTTTTGGGAGAGTAATCAATAAGATGCATTCATAAAACATTTATTTGCCATCTGCCCTACCATCATTGTCTTGTAAGTTTCTCCCCCCAGGCCTTACTCTCTGCCATTGCCTCTAAGCTCTTCAGTCCTCTGACACTGGTATTTGACATTTATATAGCCTTAGGACCTTTGGGCCTTGCTACCTTTTCTCCCATTGAAGCCTTAGGACTTCTGGTCCTTTCTAGCTACCCTGAAGCTGAACTTTCTTTGGTGTATTGTCTACCCAATTAGAGTGTGAGCTGTGGGAGTTCAGGAGCTCTCAATTTTTCAGTTTGTATCTCTACCGGTTAGCAGTGTGCATAGCATATGTTAAGTGCTTAATAAATGTTTATTCATTCATGCATTCTGTCAAAGGGATCCTCCCACCTGGCACACTGTTAACACCAGTGCCTTCTCCCTTCCTGAGTCCTGAGAGAAGATAGAACATTACTTGCTAAGCCTCAACAGAAGTAAAAACTGAAACTCTCTTATAGGGAAAGACACTTGGGGGAAGCTCTGTTATAAGACTGAGTGTTTTGATTCTTGGGTTTTGCTGTCCTAGGAGGAACCCCCTCGAGGTTACAGGGAAGAGAGGCCCACTCTGGTAAGCGCCCTAACCGAGAGGAGGATTGATGTTGCTATTGGTAACCAGAATAAAGTGAAGTCCATGGCTACCCAACTACTGGCAAAATTTGAGGAGAATGCACCACTACAATCCACTTCTGGCATAAGGAGACAGGTAGGACACAGAATCATGTCTTATCCTTGGATTCTTACTTGGATTTGGGTTGAGGTATAGGAAAATAAAGGTCACTTTGTATTTCTTGATTATCAAGAAGCAGCTCTGCTGTGTCAGCCTGCTATGCTAAGTCTTTCTGGGCCCAAACACTACAAAGAGAAACTACAGTGCTGGTCATACTGCCTGAGTGTGTAACATCCAGTGAAGAATTGTGATCAGGGGGAGGTTGGACCTTAGAGAAAAGGTGATTAGTATTCCTTGGCTGATATCACTGGGTTCCTGCTTACTCACTCCCACAGTCCAAACAGGCAGAATTCAGGAGGAATCTGAGCCCACTGTGAATAATCCTCTCTGTCCAGAGGACTTGGGGTGACCACATTAGTTTTGCCTCTAAATGTCCCAATTCCCTTCTCCAAAGAACCCAACCTTCTCAAGTTTATGGCAGATTAGATTTTGGCCAGAATATAATACATTTCAGCATTTGATCCCAGGTCTTCTTACTATAAATCCAATGTTCTTTTGTACAACACTCCTCTGAGGCTTGCTGTCTCTAAATCTATTGATGTGTTTCCTGTCACTCTGGAAAAATGTCTCATAATTTAGTAACGAAGCCACTTCCAATCCCACAAGTTTATGAAAAGTCTTGAAAAGGTTTTGACTTGCAAAGAGAGATATCTTTATCAGATGTTACTCCTCTTCTATCTTCACAGGGATTGTGGGGGGGGGGTTTAGAATCCTTTTTTCTTCAATGAATTTTTATCTTTTTGTTTTTACATCGCCTAAATTTTCCCCTGTATTCCTCCCCATGGCCCTTTCTCCCAGAGAGCCATCCCAGTTATTTCAAAATCTTACAGGAATTCCTTTTTTTTTCACTCAAAATGATTTGGCAGTCTAAGATGATATCTTCTTGGTGTTTCTTTATCATGAGAGATCTTTTGTCTGTTCTAATCACTCAGAGTAGCCCCCTAGTTTCTAGCATATCAGGAGCAGGGTTGACTTTATTTTCAGGAGCAGCAACCTAGCTGGCCCTCTCTTTTCTCATTTGGCATTAAGAGAAAAGTTGCGTTTAGCTAACCATATTTCTCATTCTGGGTAAGTAATCTGGTTTTCTAAACTGAAATAAGACCAATCCAGGGAATTACTGAACCTCGGAAAAGAAAAGTCAAAATCATATATACTCTAATTTTCCTGTTTTGATTTTACTTTGATTTGTTTTTCCTGCAGTTAAAATTGTGACTTTCTTGGGTAACCCGGTCTTACTAAGAATCATTTTTATCAAGAATTTTTTTAGGTCATAAATATGTGTTTGATACCATGTCTCATTCTTCTTCCCTCCAGTCATCAACTTCCATTCAATTCCTCTGCTTCTTAATTTATGTTATTTTGTCTCTTTGTCCTGACTCCACATCCACTCTTGATTTATATGTGACAGCCCATCCACGAACGTTGTATCAGCCAGCCATCCGGCAGACAGCCTGAGCAGGGCCGCCCTGCTCCGATACCTCAGTGGAAACAGGTAAAGGAATTATCTAGTGACCAGGATGTTTGTCTTCTTGTATCTCACCTCCCTGATCTTCCTCCTGAACAAGAGAATGATGAAGCCTGAAATCTTTTAGTTTAGGCTTCCTTTGGGAGTAACTGTTAGGTTTACAGCAACCCTGTAAATAGTTACTTGCCAGATTAGAACAGGAAATTAATAGGTGATGCTAATTTCTTATTTCATTACTTGTATACTTCCTTTTGGTAAACCATTTTAAAGACTTGTGGACCACTGGGTGTTGATGAATGTGTACTTGAATGTGTATTTAAATCTTCTCCTGGGAGAGACTGAAAAGCTGAGCAGGGTTAGGCTTCTACTCTTGGAGAAAGGCCATTGCTAAGCAGTACAGTACAGGAAGGGGAGAGGTAGAGGAGGGTGTCTATTTAGATGTGTCAACTGTAAGAAGCAGAAAATCCACAGGTGGAGTCTGGTTGCTTTTCTACTTGACTTTCCCCCACATCATAATTAGACGTGTTGACTATGACCTCATTAGCTCCATTAGACTGCAAGATGGTCCCAAAATTGGGTTTTATACTAAACTTTAATAAATAAAAGTGAGCCCCTCACCTCTAAAATGAACCCTCATTAGTTGAATTTACAAGTGAGAACAGAGCTTCCTTCCTAATCCAATATCTTCCTAGCTTTGATTATTCTATTTGATTCCCTACTAAAAGCAAACTATTGGCTGCAGAACAATCTGGGAGTAAGACCATGACTGAGAGGAGAAGGCAGCGTGATGTTTCAGTGACAATCTAAGTTTGGAGAAGTCTCTGAGGAACTTGGCATTCTACTTGGGATCTGTCCTGTCAGATTCCAGTTGTGAAGAGAAATGCTTTTAAGGGGCAGAAATGAGAAGTCTGTTAAAAAGGAGAGCAGACTATTTCAAATCTCCAAGCTTTCAGATGCCTTTCTTAAAAGGCCTTGGAAATGAGGATATCACCATGTTTGGAGGCACTTTGAATAATGATTTTTGTGTCAGTGGGAGAGGAAAGTACTGTAAATACCATCTGCTTGGGGCAGTTTCAGACCGACCTGCTGGGCAATATGAATACCCAAATAAGAATAAGAATAACCAAAAATCTTCAGTTAAAAGAGTTTCTCCTTTTGAATCTATATAGAGCACTGAATCTGGAGTCATGAAGCCCTGAATTCAAATCCAGCTTTAGGTGCTTATTGGCTGTGTGATCCTCAGCAAATCACTTAACCTTTGTCTGATTTTCCTCATCTGTAAAATGAGGATAATAATAGCACCTACATCCCAGAGTTGCTATGAGGGTGAAAGGAAAATTGTGATTAAAGCACTATATAAATGTTAGCTATTATTATTATCACTATTATTATTAATCAATAAATACTTATTAACTGTCTACTGTGTACTGGGCACTGTGCTAAATGCTGGGGTTACAAATAGAGGGAAAAGATAGTCCTGCCCTTAAGGAACTTACAATCTGTAATTGTTATTATTATTATTATTATTATTATTATTATTATTATTATTATTATTATTATTATTATTATTATTATTAGCAGCAGCAGCAGCAGCAGCAGCAGCCACAAGGAAGTTGGTAAATTAGGGAGCCATGATTGAACAGGAGTTGTCCAAAAGTGGCAGGTCTTCTTCTTGGCTACTTCAAGCTATTTTTGTCATTCCTGTCGGTCTGCATGCCATTCTGTCTTGTTTTGTCATCATCATAAAGCATTTGTGAGGTGCATAATTTGTTGGTGGCCCTCTTACAAGGGGCTAAGCAGAGAAAAAACATGTGGGGGCCATCTTGCTGTCTTGGCATGCCTTCAGTCTCAGGCCACACTGAGTTGGAAACACATTTAGGAAACATAGCATAGAGTAGGGGGGAAAAAATGAATGAACACACTAAGTGAATAAATAGGGCAAAGATTTGTGCAGAGTATTTCTCAAAATTTCATCTCCAGCACTAGATGGGGAAGAAACCATGACCCTTTTTTTTTTAAATGGTACTTGAAAAAGGATTTAGGTGAAAGAAAAGCTTACTTGCTCTGGCTTTTTCTCACATGCAACAGATTTCTTTGAGAAATGATTTTACATGATTGCAAAAAAAACATTCGTGAGAAGAATACAGCTCCTTTCTCATGTGTGTGTGCACGCGAGCAAACTTGTGCACGTGTGTACACACTGCACATTACCTAAAATTTGCATGCTGATATTTTTTTTCCAGAAGAAAAGCAGAGGATGGGATCTTGAGTCTTGATCTAGAATTATCATCTGAAAAGTGTAGGACAGAGTAATAGTGTTCTACAGGAGCTTTTTGGTACTGTAGAAAATCTTCCATTTACCACTTCTCTACCTCCATGTCCCATTACACATGTGAGATGGACAGCAGGTCTTTATGACTTATGGTGTGGTCTTCCCTTTAAACATTTAAACATTTTAAACATTGCGTCTCTTCCTCTCTACATTCTTTTGCATCCTTACTTCAGAAATATATCCTTTAGGTACACTCTGTATGTGATGTGGTTTTGATTGGGTTTCCCCTGCTGTGCAAGGCCTGAGTAAATTAGAAAACTCTTTTTTCTGGGACTTGTACTTCTCATAGACCGTACTCTCCACTAGAATCAGATGCTGTAAGCAGGGCAGCACCTGCTTCATGGCAGAAACCCACATAATAATTCTCAGTACCAAGAAGTGTGAGACAAAAAAAGCAAAATTAACTTCTCAGAAGGTCACTAGAAAATGTAAATACAAAGAGGAAGCAGCAAATGTCTTGGAACCAGTCAAGGGTTCTTACAGGAAATGACTAAAAAGGAGGGAATGGAGGAAAGAAGCTAGGGACAGGATATCCAAGGTGTTCAGTTGGGTGAAATGTGATTTGTTTTTACATCCTCCTTCTTATACTTCATTGTAGTCCTTTGGCAGTCATCCCAGAACTCTGTGAATATGTAGAAAGGACCACTGAAGAAGGAGGAAATGGCAAGATGGTATTACAGATGGTTTCTGAGTCTCTGCTTTGCTGCTGATTGTCATTCATGTATCCGTTGGTTCTTATCTGTTTTTGTGTTGGAGACCCCCTCTGGTAGTCTGGTGAAGCTGATGAACACCTTTTCAGAATAATGTTTTCAAATGTACAAAATGCATAGGATTACAAAGAAATATATTATACTGACGTATACTGTAATATAATATAATAACACATACTGTAGTATGTGAATATATACTACATTATATTGAAATGTAGTTCATCAATTTTTTTAGGGCTCAAAGGATCCCTCCTAGTTAAGAACTCGCAATCTTGGCCAGTATTCTAGCCATAGTGATTAACAATCAAACTCTTGATCTTCACCGTACCATCCCATCTTCTAATATTTTACTAAACCCACCAAGTAATAATAGCTTACATGCAGTGCTTTACTTTACACATTATCTCATTTCAAGTGAGGTAATATACACAAAAAAAACCTTACAAACCTACACAATATATAAATGTTAGCTATTATTATTCTTTTATCCTCATGGCTTTAAGTATTTGAGTTACTGAGTATTGCAGGTGTCATTCCTACTTGATGGATGAGGAAAATTTGAATCAGAGGGATTAAGTGACTTGGCAGGGGTCACACAGCTAGTAAGGGGCAGAGCCAGGATTTAAACACAGGGCTTTTGAGGATACCAGGCGCCATGGTAAGGGCTGGGGATAAGAAAGTCTTTGCCTTCAAGGAGTTTATTATTCTAATGTAGGAAGAAGACAACACAGAAAGGGGATGGGGAAGACAGTTATGTATTAGTGTGGTGTGAAAATGGCCAAGAAATGATATGGAAGTCTAGTTCCAAGCTCACTTTTCAGAACTCAAAATGGTTCTAGGGGCAAAATCCAGGGTTGCAATGGGAAGAGGAGGAGGATTATGGCTGGAGTGCAGATGGTCTGATTCTGAAGTGGCCAAGAATTGACCAAATCAAGTGATTTAGAAAGTGCCACACTTCATTAGCACAGGGGGTTTTGTTTGTTTTGTTCTTATATTTCCTTTCATTTTGAACCTGACAGTCATCAAAAACCATGAACTTTTCTATATACAAAGGACAGAAAAATTGGATTGTATGTGAAATTTTGTGAATTTATTATGTACATATAGTTTGGGGGTTTTACATAGTAAATTTATTATTGGTGTACCATTACTAACCTGCTTATCTTTGTTCCATTCTGAATGCATAGTACATTTTAACTAAAATTTCCACCATATTGGGTAGCCTGTGAGCTAGCCCCCTTAGAAATGCAAATCTGATGGGGGCAAAGGGAGACATTGAAGATGAAAAGTCAGCTTCTCTTTTTGACTGTACCATGATTTCTTAGTGATGTAGAAGGGGCAGAGGAAGGAACCCATCTTGGTGATCTGTCAGAGGCTGCCCCTTAGCCTTTCCAAAGCTAGCCTGTACTTTCCAACCAGCTTCAATGTTTTTTTTTTCCTCTTTGTGTGTCTTGTTAATGCAAAAGCGACGGCGAAAGGAATGTTCTCGGACATGCCCGAAAAAAGTGATTACACTTTCTTCTCCTTCCATTCCACCTTCTTCTCGATTATATTGCAGTCAACAGGTGATCCTTTCTGCATGCCCTCTCTTCCCTTTTTCTTGTCATTCTCACCTGTGCAGGTGGCTAGACTAGTGACTGATTCAGTGGTCCCTCCTATTAATGAAAGCTTTACAAAACCCAAACAAACTACTTATCTTCATTTCTATAAACTACGTAATTCCTGACTGTTCAGACCCTGAACAGTCTTTTTCCTACAAAATTCTTATCAAAATTCATATTACTTTGAAAATGAATAGAAAGGGTAAAAAATGTCACCAAACTAAGGGCGCAAAGTCCCAAGTAGAAGGAATGACAAATTGGTTCATTTTATGGTACAGGCATGCCTGATGATGAAGTTGGGCAAACAGCATTTTTCAATGACATCTTATATATTGTAGCCAAACCTCATGGGAAAGTTGTAAAACGTAATTGTGAAATCCTGAGGCCCTAGACTCCGTTGTTTCTTTTCAATTAACTGTCCCCATAACATCATTTGGCCTAAATTTATATTTTCACAGAACTAGTTAATATTAAGCAGGGCATAACCTACATATAGCTCAGGTCAGGGTTGCCATTTCTTTATATTCTGTCTCTACAGTGGAATAAAGTCAGATGGGCATTTCCAAAGCATCAGGGCATCTTATTCTTGCTGAGGTCATGAAAACCCCTAAATCTGCCTATTTCCTATTAATCCATTGAATGATCCACTTTCCACATTCCCCTGACTCAGGGCAGGCAGTACAAGACCACTTCAGAGAGTGTTGTATAACACTGAATCTACAATAACAATTGTGTCGAGAATATATTTCTCAGAGCAGCTTTTTAAAAAGTGTATTTACAGATAGGATTTTTCCGGCCATCAAGAGTAACACCTGTAGAGTCCTGTGAATTCTGATCTCTGAGGCAGAATACAATGATTGTAAAGGAAGTTTTTGCCACATCTAAGATGGCCTGTTTAAATGATATGTGGTTTTAAAACCCTTGAGTGTATTATCAGAACTACCTATGAAATAGATAATTTTAAACTAAAAACATCCCCCTCACCTCTGTTGAATAAAACTGGGGATGCCTTTCAGAGTATCCACTTAATTCTGCCATTTGGTTTTTACGTGGTCTGTTTGAAGGCATTTAGTAGCACCTGTGTATTTGGGTCCAAGAACTGAATCTTTAAAAGATCTAGTGAATTATTGTGCCTTTTACCTTTGACATCCTGCTAAGGCTATGTGCTTATGTGCCAGGGAAGTCCATGTAGCAGCAACTTTGAATCACTTCTTCAGCCACTACTTAATTTCAAATTGAATGCTCCGTCTTTTCAAGGCCTTTAGCTGGGGCAGCTAGGTGGCACAGTAGATAAAGCACCAGCCCTGGAGTTAGGAGGACCTGAGTTCAAATCCAGTCTCAGACCAGACACTTGACACTTACTAGCTGTGTGACCCTGGGCAGGTCACTTAACCCCCAATTGCCTCACCAAAACAAACAAACAAACAAACAAAAACAAGGCCTGTAGCCATGGAAAATTATTCCCTGCCCCAACCCCAGATCTGTGTCAGTTGCTTCCTTAATTAAACTGAGCCAATTATATATTTCTCTTTAAGGTTTACTGTCCCCTTGCTCAGTGGTAAAATTGCTAAGATGTATTTCTATCCTATCTCCATCTGTTCTTTAAATAAATTAAAGTTTTGGCCCTGTGTTCTTCTAGGGTGGGGACCACTCCCCACCCTAGAGTTTCCTCTGGACTGTTTGTAGTGGTCATTTATTCTAGCCAGTTTCCAACTCACTGCCTTTCCTTTCTAATATCTGGTTTGGAAAACTTCACTCTTCTAACCTGCCCTTTTTTTTTTAACCCTTCTGTTTAATTTCTTTGCTCTCCTGCCACTGTGTGAAAGATATGAGTTTGCTCCACCTTCGTACTAACTATAGTTTCATTTATCTACCTGACCTAAAGTTGGACACCCTGGCCACAAACACAGATTTGTCCTTGTGTGTGGGATTTGCTACAGATGGCATTTAAGGTTTTTGGGGAGAGGGAGGCATGGGAAGAGGGAACAGATATGTTTGAAATTAACACAGTGAATTTTTTCCAGTCTCATTTCTCACTGTCATTTAGTATGTCCAGATAAAGCCTTTGGCTGGTGCTTAAGTTTACACTTTGTTGCCCACAGACGTACAGGGATCTTGATGCTGACAACCGTGGCAAGCAGAGTCCTCAATATGAAAGGGTAAAAAGCATGAACCCATCGCATGGGGTGCTGAGAGCGTATACACACACATAGGGTACAAAATGATGGGAAGGCACAGCGGATGGTAGAAGGCCCTCTTGGTTGCTTTTTGCACTCTTGCTACTCAAACAGAAAACAGATGTCATTTGGAATTTGTTAATGAGGAAGATTCAGCACTGACCATGCTCCCAGGACAATACAGCGCCCAGACTCTATGCTGATGATAATGTAGATATTTCTGCTGCTCTACACAATCTTGATGGCTTTCTGTTTTCTGCCTATTACATGTCCTCTCTTGGGGTCATGTCTCATTCTCTCTAAGTGTCTTATAGCTACAATGGGACACAAATGGTTAATTCCATGGGTGAGCTTTTGAGAGCGCGTTTTATTAAGCAAATGTCATACACTCAGCCTTTTTGATAGCTATAATGTGTTGGGCATAGGGACGGGTAGAGGTATTGGAGAGGCCAGAGCTCTTACCATTGTTGAGAATTTTAATATTAAGGAGATGGGAAGAGAAGGAATACTAGAGACAGACTTAATGTAAATTGTTTACTGAGTTACTTGAATGATCAGTTGGAAAATCTGGACTCGAACACAGAACTTTGTCATTGGACAATTTGGCTAATGAAATAATATTTAATGGACAACTTGAATACGAGAATTACTTAATTTGTCATTAGCAGAAGTTGCCATTCAGTCTAAGTGTATATGGAAGATGCAAAGAATGATCACTTCCCATTGAGTTTATGCAATAGTTCTCTCTTTGCTTTGTTTCTAGATATATAAGAATACATTTAGGGCTGGCAGTTCATTTATATTCAAGTGTCTATGGAAGCAGACTAGTCTTATGCCTCACCCTCTGCCTCAGCCTCTTCTTCGAATTAGGAGGGAAAAAAAAGCTAGAAGTGTATATATATAAGCTGCTGTGGATACCAACAGATGAAGTGCATGATAGAGGATGAAATGAGGATTGAAAGGCATCATCTTGTCTCTTCATAGCCTGCAGGCTGTGGTTCTATTAAGTCTACTTTTTTTATCAGGTCCTTCATAAAATCAGCTTTTCTATTTAAATGTCAGTCCAGACTGACATTCTCTCAAAAAGGAAGTTAGCTTCACTGAGAAGGTATTACCCCATATGTGAAAGGAAGCTGAGGTTTCTTTTTGGTCATTTGTATTTAGTGGGGTTAGAATTTAGAGATAAAAAGGTGAGGAGTAGGGAAAAGACACGTCTTGGAGTTTTGCCCTCAAAAGATAATGAGTTGAATGCATTTTTCATTTCTTTTTGGAAAAAACTAATTCCTTGGCTCCATTAATGTACTGGGCTGTAGTCCAGTCATTTTGGAGGGACCTCATTTTCAGTGACTCTTCAAGCCCTGTTCATTATCTTGCTTGTGACCTTACTTTCCCTCACATCTCCTTTCCCGTCACTGAATAACATTATTTTTGCCTGTTCTACCTCCTTAGGGAGGCTTGTTTTTTTTTTTCCTGTTAATTTCTTTCTTACTTTCTTGTACTGCTACTTCCTGCAGTGGTTTCACCAAGTTTTTTCTGGTGGCCTGCTAGTTGAAGTTACACTGAATATTGACCACAGGGAATGCCAGTTGCCCCTGCTTCTGGAGCAAAGGCCGATCAAGCATTAGATGACTGCTGCCCAGTATTGTTCTCATCCATTTGCCTACTAATAAAGATGTAGGGAGTGATGGGTATGGGTCTCCTTGGAGATGCATTAGCAGAAAGTATGTGATCACTTCAATATGTTGCTTCACACTTTCTTTAGGGGACTCTAATGTTAAATCCATCCATAAGTCTTGGACCTCTAACAATCAGTAGCTTATCAAGGGATTGCATAGGCTTGAAAAGTTCCAGGTTTAGCTAACCTCATCATTAAAATAGCAAACCTTTTGGTTGGATCTTTCCATATTTTGTATAGTAAATAAAGGGGTCAATGGCTTGAGTTTTTTATCCTGTTTTTTTTCTTCAAGCTTCAGCTAGAAGCATGATTAATGGATCTGATACTCCTCTGAGGATTAGCAGAAAAGAGGAAAAACAGCAGGTATTGACCCTATTAGAGAAGGGGATAACTTCCCTTCTTTGCATTTGATTAATTCCTTTACTTGTGCTCTCTGTAAAGCTTGTGGGAGAAGCCCACTTTGCTCAAGGGGTAATCCTACTCTGTCTAGTGGAGAAACTCTAGTGGAGTGCACAAATGGGCTCATCTATTGTAGGTGCCTGTTCTAGGCTACCTCTTCCCTTCACCTCTTATTTTCTTGCCTTTATGCCCCTTTCTTAGAGTGTAGCAGCCATGAGGAAGAATGATTACATGCAGATGATTATATATAGTTCTACGTTCCACTTTCTAGGAAGGGTAAGCTAGAAAATATCCAAAGGAGAGCAGTCAGATTGATGAAGGGCCTCCCTCTCTATACAAGGACCTGTTGAAGGACCTGATGGCTTCTCATTTAGAATGATAGGTGCCTTCAAAATAAAATTATGTGAAGGGCTTTTACGTAGAAGAGTAATTTCACTTGTTCTGCTTGGCCTCAGAGGGCAGAATTAGAAGCAGTGGGTATAAATTGCAGAAAGACGAATTTAAGCACAATGTAGAGACAAACTTCTAGCCATCTTAAGCTATCCAAAAGAAGACTGAGTAGACCTTGAAACTCCGCTTCACAAAAGGTTTTTAAGTGATGGACCAGAGGGCTGCTTGTTGATCTTGTCATCAGGATTCACATTCAAGAACAGATTGAACTAGAGAGTCTTTGACCAGCCTTTCAACCTTGGACACAAAGCTGATTTTTTTTTTGGGTGGCTTACTGGCTCTGCTTTCTGTCTAGATTCAAGAGTAGCAGTAGCCTGAAGTAGTTTGAGTTTACCCAGAAACCAAGGATGTTTCTCTCCTGCTTCTCTGTGATTTAAACATTATTCTGAAGCTAAGGAATTTAATAAGGCTAAGTCTCCTCTCAGATCAGGCTTGAACTCTGAATTTAACACTTCCTTTGATTTTTTTTCTCCTTTTTTTTTTAGCAAGAAACTGAACCTTCTCGTCGATTTTTTGTTGAGCAATGGGAGCTTTCCCTTAGCCTCCGTTCCTCCAACCGCCCTGCCTCACCCTCCTCTGACTCTCTCCGACAGGTAGCATGCCTGGCTTTTGGCAAAACCACAGTTGGATGTATGACCTTTGCTCACCTCACACCGACTAATGCAGTCACAAGAGGTCTCTGTCCCTGGGGGAGTTGACAGAACCTCTGACTCTGGTTTATCTCCTTTTTAAGAACTACAGAGAGAGAGAGAGAGAGAGAGAGAGAGAGAGAGAGAGAGAGAGAGAGAGAGAGAGAGAGAGAGAGAGAGAGAGAGAGATGCATAATTGAGTGAAATAAGCTTCTAACTTTGGCAGACCCTGATCATTCTATATTTAATATAAGTCATATACTGATGAAGTAATTTCAATCTTTCATTGCCTTAGAATTGTTTTGGCAAATATTTATTAGAAAACCAGATCAGCTAAAGGATTGGGAAATGTTTCCTTAAAGAGAAATGTGTAGTAATATTTCTTGTAATGGAATTTGAAGCACAGTGAATGGTATGTGTATAGGTATGTATGTTTATGGTTGTTATGTGTTTGGTTGTATCTGATTTTGGTCCCTAAGGAATCAATTCTGCTGTTTGGCATACTAGAATTCATCAGGTTATGGGATGGTTTGTTTATAGGACAATTAGGTCTTTTTTCTCTTTGTTTATTGCTTCTTATTTGTACCAAATTAGTGGTGTGTGTATATGCATGTGTGTAGTCTTAAATATTGCTAAATTTTAACAGTTCCGTAACAGCAAAATGAAGAAAATTGGCAAATAGAATTCGAGTTTTTATCACTTCCCCAGAAATGCTTGCCATTGTTAACACATTGCTGTTATTGAAATGAACCCAGTTGAAATACAAGGATGGTCCTGGACCATGATCACTCGGAAGGGGCTATTGGTCAGGATATTAGTGCTGTGGCCAAACCTGGAAGAACCTAGATCTTTAAAGAAAGGTTGCTTAATTTCCCAGTCCAATGTTTTTGGTTTCTGGTCTATGCTTGATGTTGTATTCTGTGGAATGAAAGATAATATAATTATCTGTTACCTCTGTTTTTATTATTGCACTACCTTGTCATCCCTGTTTGTTCTTGTCTTTTCTAGGCCTAAGTTTCTCCCTTATCTCTAATTTTTAAAACTTTGGATTTGGTAGCCATTCATTTTTCATTACTTATAATAGGGAATAATGTTGTGAAGTTATAGAGGTCATTAATGGATTAATGGCTACTTTGAAATATGCTACTCTGTTAAGACTGAAGATTGCAGTGATTTTCCCAATCCCAACTAAATCATGGATAATTACTTTCTTATCTATATCTGGTTGTACTCTGGCATTCGTATCATCATAGTTCTTTCCCAGAGTAAGCATTTCCCTTGTTTACACAGCTCACTCAGGTCCTCATGTCAAACTACACACTCTTTCTCCTTCAAAAAGTTGCTAAACTAAGAGTAACCTTAGCATGGCAACTATTTCTGGATGTCTCTTAGAGTTGGAATTAAAGACAAGACCTCCAGCATTTGGCATATATACAACAGATTGGAGCTCTCTGCTTTTAAGTGATGTGTAGCAATAACATTATATGTCAGGATCTAGGCCATTAGCCATATGGAAGGTTAAATTGAACAAGGAGAAATTAGAAGGCTGAGTGTACAGCAACCTGTATTCATATAATGAAACAAAATAAACATTCAGAACTGAAACTGTATAGTCTGTGCAGCTCTTCAACCAGCTCCTAAGTCTAAGAGATATAAACGGGATATTTTATGCTAAAATTGGTGAGATTTTCTCTATTCCATTCTTTTCCCTAAAATAATAGATTGTTTCAATGTCTTTCACACTTTTGTCCTAGACCAGAAAGATCTCAGCTTTTCCAAGGCAAATTTGAACTCATTGAACAAATGGTTATCTGTGCTATAGTATTCGATCAAAATATCCATCCCAGCCAGGGAGGCTTTGGGTACAGTATCTTGATTGGAAAGGAGATTTGTGTGGGTGGACTCTTCCTGATTTTTCATGAGTATAAGCAGAAATCAGCTGAGGGTGGTTCTTCCAGATAAAAACTGGGAGTATTTGTAGGTTCAAATAGATGCTGAGGCTGCCACTAAGAAGGAGAAGGGAACATCATGGTTATAGTTTTTAAAAACTTTGGCCTGGAAAGCAAGAGACTTGGATTCTCATTCTATTTCTGTCATTGCCACTCTGTCACTGTGGGATCTTCGGCAGATCATTTCACTTAACTGGGCCTTAACTTTCCTCATTTGTAAAATGAGAGGAGTTTGACTAAATAACCTGTAAAGAACCTTCAGGCTTTAACTCATAGTGTTAAATCACTAGGAATATAATTGGAGATTGTCACTTTCTATATGTAGAAAGAGGTTTTAAGGAGCCTTGAAAGGAGTGATATGTTCTAGATGTAGAGAAACCCTCCAAAGGTGGAACCATGTGTCTGGATGGGACAAAGTCCTTTTGACCTCTGTATATAGTTCCCATTGTTATTAGATTCCCTTTTTATCCCCTTTTGTCTTTTGTACATCTGTTCTCCAAGTGCTGAAAATTCTCCAAAAGGAGTGATTACTGGGTTTCAATGTAGTTCACATAATTCTTGCTGCTTTTTTGACAGTTGTGCTAAAATTAGCTTTTATGTCATCACTGACACCGGTTCCCTTCTTATCACCCAGTTATCCTGCTTTGAGGCACTGTGCTGGCATGGTTTGTCTGCTGCACCTTTTTCTCACTTTATATTTTTTAAAAACTTATTTCCTATCTTCTTAATTTATTTTTTTGTTTTCTCGTTTTCCTTAATTTCCTGGTTATTTTATGTCCTCCAACCAATAGAAGTATATAAAGATGTACACGGGCGGAGTGAGCTCATTGGCTGAGCAGATAGCCAATCAGCTTCAAAGGAAAGAACAGCCCAAAACCCTTCTAGACAAGAAGGAACTGGTAAGAGATGTTCCAAGGGTACTGTGTGTTTAGACATAGCATAAAGCTATGGTAAAGTGAACTGGTTAGTTGTCCTCATATATTTATGGTTCTATGGACTGTCAAAGACTGGTGTGATTTACTTTTTTTTTAAATGTAAGGATATTTGAACTCTGATAAGTAAGTATGAAGCGGAAAATATCCGTAAGAAATGTATGAGTATTGAAAATATTAAGTTGTCTTATCCTAGGAAAGAGTTTTTCTCTTCACAAATGCCAATTCATGAAAGAACACAAGTATGGGAGTGTTCATCAGAAAGTGAGTGACATCTCTCTATGATTGTCCTCTTCAGTTGTTTGATATTTTTTTGACCCATCACATGATGGGTCACTCCACCTTGGTGGAGTGAATGTGAATGACTGCTTCCACAGTAAAATGAAGTGTGTTGGAAGGGATGCCCCTCAGACATTGAGGAGCCAGGATTCCTACTGAGTGATGCTCTAATCATTTGATTGCCCCATCTCATTATGGCTTCGTTGGTTAGGACTGGTTAGTTGTACAGAGGACAATGTGCACCTGCAGATATCCCTTTCTGGAGTGCAGGTAACCACAAGAGCCAGTGACTCTGACCTGTTTTTTCCCCTTCTTCCCATCCTGTTTCTCACAGGGCTCATTGAAGAAGGAGTTCCCCCAGAATATAGGAGGCAGCGATATTTGCTATTTCTGCCGTAAGCGAGTCTATGTGATGGAGAGGCTGAGTGCTGAAGGGAAGTTCTTCCATCGAAGCTGCTTTAAGTGTGAATACTGTGCTACTACCCTACGCCTGTCTTGCTATGCATATGACATAGAGGATGGTAAGGAGCAACTTTTCTTCTTCTCCAGTCTCGGGCATTAGAAGTCCATTATTCATATTGCATGGGTGTCTTTCAAGATTGTTCTGAGTCTGATTATAATGGTATATGCCTGTAACACCAGCTACTGGGGAATGCTAAGATAGTCAAATCCCTTGAATTCAGGAGTTCTGAGCATCATTGGGATGATGGTGATGATGATGATGATGATGATGATGATAATGATGGTGGTGGTGGTGGTGGTAATAACTATCATTTATATAAGGTTTACCATGTGCTAGATACTGTGCTAAGAACTTTACAAATATTATCTCATTTGATCCAATCAAATATTTACAATGCTTGGCATCAACATAGTGAACCTCTGTGAGTGAGAGACTGCCTGGTTGCCTAAGGAGGGATGAACTGACCAAGTTGAAAACAGTTCAAAGCTGCCATGCATATCAACAGTTGGATTAGGGCCATGAGTGGACCCTTGTACTTCTAGCCTGGAAGAGATTGGGGAACGCCAATGTTTAAGAAGAACAAAAACACAACTCTCCTAGGTGCTCTTCTACTTTATATTCCCCCTCTTAGTGACCTCATTGACTCCTATAGATTTAATTATCATTAGGTAGATGACCCAGATACATATAAGGAGCCCCAGTCACCTCCTGTGTTGGTCTTGAATCATGAACTACCTAGTAGACATTTCAAACCTGATGATCCAGAGATACCTCAAACCCAGTGTGTCCAAAGTAGAACCTATCTCTTCTCCGAATTTTCTTATTTCTGTTGAAGGCCACACTAGTCTTCGGATCTCCTCAAGTTCAAAACCTTGGCATTATCCTCATGCTCCCTCACCCCACATATCTAGTCTCTTTCCAAATCTTGCTATTTTTACCTCTGCAATGTCTCTCATATCCAGTCCCTTCTCTTACCTTAGTTGAGGCCTTTATCACCTCTTGTCTAGATTATTACAATGGCCTCCAAATTGGTCACTCTGCCTCTAATCCCTCCTCATTCCAATCCATCCTTCTTCATACAACCACCAAAGTGATTTTCTTTAAGTAAGGGTCTTGGCACATCCCTCCTTACTCAAAAAATTCCTATAGTTCCCTATCATTTCTGGAATAAAATCTGAACTCCTTTATTTTATGAAACCTATTGCTTCCAAGAGCAAATACAGATTTCTTTGTTTGGCATTCAAAGCCCTTCTTAACCTAGCCACTTCCTATCTTTCCTGACACTTCCTGACACATGGTTTTCAGTCCGATGATGCTGGCCTCCTGGATGTTCCACGAATAAGACACTCTAATCTCTCAACTGTGGCCATTTTCTCTAATTGTCCCACCTCCACTCCAACTATTAACTTCCTTGACTTTTTTTTTTTTTTTTGGTGAGGCAGTTGGGGTTAAGTGACTTGCCCAGGGTCGCACAGCTGGTAAGTATCAAGTATCTGAGGCCAGATTTGAACTCGGGTCCTCCTGACTCCAAGGCCAGAGCTCTATCCATTGCGCCACCTAGCTGTCCCCTTGACTTCTTTAAGTCCCAACTAAAATCCTACCTTCTACAAGAAGCATTCCTCCAACCCCTCTTAATTCCAGTACTTTCCCTCTGTTAATTATTTCCTCTTTATCCTGCATATTGCTTATTTATATATATTTGTTAGCATGTTGTCTCCCCAGTGGATTGTAAGTTCCTTGATGGTAGCCACTTTCTTTTGCCTCTTTTTGTATCTCCTGAGCTTAACTGGTGCCAGACACATTACAGGTACTTATAAATGTTGACTGACTGATTGGGTGATTTACAGCCTGATCCATCCTATCTTTTTAGTGTTCTTATACATTCCTCCTCTTCCCACACTCTAAGGTGCAGCTGAACTAGCCTTCTGTCTTTTCTTCCACATTCCGTCTTTCATCTCCAGGCTTTTGCCCTTGATATTCCTCTTGCCTGGGGGATGCTGACTCCTCTCCTCCACCTCATGGATCTTTCAAGATGCAGCCAACATACTCCCTTCTGCAAGAACACTTTCCTGATTCCTCCCAAATGCCTTGTATTTAGCAGCCTTGCATTTACTATTTGTATTTTGTATATATTTATACGCTTTTGTTGCCTGGTAGAAGGTTAACTCCTACAATGTAGAAATTGTTTTGGTATTAGTGTTTGTATCCCAAAGACCTAGCACAGTATCTTGCATAGGTACTTAATTAAATACTTGTTAATTGATCAGATTCCCCTTTTTGTCCCTATCCTGTCACCGAAGACAATCCAACATCATCAGGAGGATGAAAGTATTTAGGCTTCACCAGTAGACCTCAACCTCAATTTATTTCAGATTTGTGAATATGCATGTTGGATGGAAGGTGGAACAAGAAGAATAAATTAGTTATCAAGTGAGAATATTTAGAGTGCCTATGTTTACATGGAAGAAGTATTTGTTTATAAGCTATTCCCAGAGATTTTTTAGGTCTGTTAATGTCCTAAATGGGGACTAGTTAGTAAGAGAGAGCAAGTATCAGAAGAGTAGGAAATTGAGCAGTTCCTGCACTTCAGAGCTTATCTTTGTGTCTTTAAATCATTGCAACCTCTTACAGTAGGCTTTGGCATGAAAGAGATTCTCAGAGCATAGAACTTTGCTTTTATTTATTTTTTTTATGTTCAATCAATCAATAAGTCTTTATTAAATGCTGGTGATATCCCAGGCACTGTGCTAAGTACTGGAGATATAAAGAGACAAAAGATAATCCCTGCTTTTGAGGAGCTCACAATATAATGGGGGAGAGAACAAACAAATGAATATATGCAAAGGAAGTATATACAGGATAAATAGGAGATAATTAACAGGGAAGGTAAGAGAACTCTTTCTACAGTGCATTCCTCCAGTAAGAACTTTGCTTTTAAATCAGCCAATCAGGAATATTTACTGAGCACTCATAATAATGATGGCAGCTAACATTTATATTGCATTTATGATGTGCCAGGCACTGTGCTAAGTGCTTTACAATTATTATCTTTTTTGATCCCCACAACAACCTTGGGAGGTATGTGCTATTATTATCACCTCCATTTTATGGATGGGGACACTGAGGCAAACAGGGGTTAAGTGACTTGCCCAGGGTCACACAGCTAGTAAGAGTCTGAGGCTGGATTTGAACTTGGGTGTTCTTGACTCTGGGCCCAGATTTCTGTAAGTGACTGTACCATGTATGTCAACATTGTGCCAAGGTGCCGTGAAAGACAGGAAGAGGGAAAATAATTGACTCTCCGTATTATAAGGGACCTCAGTAATAATGTAGTCCCATTAAGGAGCTAACAGTCTAGGGAGATAAGATTCCTACATGAAACAGCAAATAACACAAGATTATACAGTTAAGTAAAGTATAGGTTATTAGAGCTATTAGCATAGGATTTCAGAAGGAAGTAATCGATGAGAGGTGAAGTAGAAGGCTTCTTAAAAGAAGTTGTCCTCTAAACCTTGGTCTGTGAGTAGGTGTGATTGAACAAAACGAGTCAAAAACAGGAGTAGACTTGAGCTCAATAAGAAGACCAGCCTAATCAGAGGAGAGGGATGAGCCTGAAAACCTAAGATTGTAGATTTAAAGCTTTAGGAGGCAATATTTAGAGCAGGCCTGCACAGCTTGCACTTACCTTGCAGCATGCCAAAGGATTTTGGACGGCCCACAAAAAATGTAGAGAAAAACATCCTTTGTATGTAGAGGAAATCCTTTGGCCGTGCTGCAAGCAGCCCTTGGGCTGCCAGTTGTGAGGCCTGATTTAGAGGGAATGAAACCCACTCCCTTCATTTTGTAGATGAGGAAATTGAGGCACAGAAAGATTAAGTGATTTGGCTAGTCACGTGTCTTAAAATTAGCAGAGGTAGGATTTGAACCCAGGTCTTTCTGACTCCAAGACCTAGTCTAGTTCCTGTCTACTAAAAGTTATATGATATACAGGTCTGGTGACTAAAAAGGTTTATTGTGGATAAGGGAAATCTCAAGGAAACATGTTCTTCTTCAGATATTTGAACGCCTGTAAAATGTTACTGAGCCTGGCCTGGATTTCCTTGTGGACTCAGGACAGTTAGTGACTTTATCAGTACTGCCAAGAGCCAACTGCTTTTTGTCCTGAAGGTGCTGAACATTATGGTCTGGGGGCAAGGTGATCCAGGCTTTGGCTGCTGCCTACTGAAATAGTTGACGTCTCTTAAGCTTATCCCTTTGAGGTAGGGGTGGTTTTTTTCTTTCTTTCTCTGAAAGAAAGTGGATTGTATTTAGAGCCTTCTTACTCTGTTCATGAACCTCTTTTCTTTGGCCTCATCATAGCCAGTGGCAGCCTTAGGCTGGTACCTCAAGTTTGTGGAGGAATTAGGAGGAAGCTCACTCATACCGTTGTAGAGGAGTTCTTCCCTAAGGCTTTTAGTGCCCCATTTATCAGTAGCAAATTCTCCCTTTGGACTTCAGTGTCTGGCAGCATTCACTCCCTCAATATTTTTCTGCATGGATCTTTAATTTAAAGAGCCATTCATCAGTTTGATTTGTCTCAGATAATATAGATCTTTTGGTTTTCAGAGAAGATTTTAAGGAAACGTGTTAACCGCTTGTTCTTTCTCCTGAGCACAAAGTGAAAAAACAAGGAAGTAACAATTTTCGTTAAGATGTAGCAAGGAGGGGTTTTTTGTGTTTTGGGGTTTTTTGGGTTGTTTCCCTGCTAAGGAATTATTACATTCATTAGTCTTATATTGAGAACATGACTGCAATTTTAAAGCAATTTACTCTAACTCTATCCTATTTTGAAAGAGGCTAGGTAATTTAGAATGACTAGGGGAAAGAAAGCTAGATCTGGAGTCACAAAGATCCTGGTTTCAAATCCTAGTTTTATTACTACCTATGTAACTTTGGTTAGGCAGGTTAACTTAACTTTTCTGGGTTCTCAGTTTCTTCAGCTGTAAAGTGAGGGGGTTGAACTCAGTGATCTCTGAGGTTAACTCTTAAGTCTGTCACATGGAAAGGGGATGAGGCTTA